TGTTTTTTGAAAGTTGAATAATTTAAAGCATGTTTGTAATTTGAATAATTAAATACTATTTGAAACATTATCTTACTAATGAAGAAATTGAGATATATTTAAAAACACCCTACTTAGTTGAGTTAATCCACTGTAACTGTTTGATTGCAGATGTTTTCCCACACTGATGGGCAGCTAACTGAGGTAGTGCTATCCAGTACAGTCAACTCTCGATTATCTGTGGTAATGGGAAACAACAATGCATGGATAATCCTAAAACCAAATACTTTATTCAGTACCTTCCTTTCTGCTGTGGCCTGAGCATGTGCCAGGGTCCATGATGGAGATGAGGGGGCGGGGCTCAGGCTTGCAAGGGAGCTGGGAGTCAGGATGATTATCTCAAGGTAATAAGAGGTATCCTAGAGAAGCCTGGGTTTGGCACCGCGTGGCTGAAGTTTCATGGGGGGAGCCTGCAGCATGCAAGACCAGCTTGGCAGTCGCAGTGATCAGAAGGAAACAAATTAATAAGGATCTATTAATAACAATAGATGTTTAAGTCCTGCACAGTTGCAGTGATATTACTTGGTGTGCTTTTTGGTTAATAGGTAGCAAATGATAAAATATTAATAGCAATGTACTTGCATTAGTTTTGGTCTTTGCTACCTAAACACATTTTTTGTTTGCCACAGGTGAGTGCTATTATTGAGCCTCTTCTAAGTAAGTGTAAGTTTATTGTCATATAACTACAGGCATACCTTGGAGATACTACAGTTTCGGTTCCAGACCACTGCAATAAAGCGAGTTGTCATCTTTTTGCTGGTGGACGGTCTTGCCTTCAATTTGTAAAAAAATATGCAACACCTGTGAACCACAATAAAGCTCAGTTCAATAAACCAAGGTATGCCTGTAGTAATTTTCGAAAACCATGATAGTTTTTTTCTTATTAAAATTCTTCCTAAGTATCAGTGTTGAACTTGTACTTCCAAAATTTAACTTAATACATTTTAGCATTGTAATGTCACAGAACATCATGAAGACAAAAGCAGTGGTGATTACTGAAAGCTATGAATTTGATTTAGGAAAAACATAGTAGCCATATATTTTTAAATGAAAAATGCTTTGTGGGAGCTTTACAAAAATTATTTTAAAACTGACAATTGGCTGTGAGTTTATGAATGTTAAAGCTGGGTTTTAGGTATATGGATAAAGTGTTCATTATATTACTCTGTCTAATTTGAATATGATTATATTTTCCATAAGAGAAAGCTTTGAAAAATTTGAAGTAGGTGATTGCTGAAAACTCCAGAAAACTTCTGGACCAAATTTTCTCGTCTTTATTTATGGAGTAGATTTATTGTTCTCCATTAAGTTATTATTCAGACTCCAAATAAAACCATAGCTATTCTGAAGGTATATTTGCTTCTGTCCGCAGGAACTCCTGTAGTTCAACCCAGTATGGTAGTGAGAGAGCAAGAATACAAATTATATTCTTATTTTCTTAACTGTATATTATTTTCATTACTGAAGATGTTTTTAAAAACTTAATGACACCAAACATCTATATTTAAGCTGTCACTAAAAGCATTAACCTCGAGTCAATGCTTGTAAAAAGTTTGGAAACAGTTGATATTTGAGAATGCATAATGTAAGGGACCAGTGAATTAGTCCTTCCTTTAGGTCATTGGTTCTCAACCAGGGCAGAACCCAAGGGGACATTTGGCAATGTTGGGCATTTTTGGTTGTCATAACCTGAGGTGGTGGAGTACTACAAGTGTCTACTGGGATGCTTCACATCCTACAATGCTCAGGACAACCCCTCCACAACAAAGAATTATCTGGCCCAAAATGTCAGTAGTGTTGCTGTTGAGAAATCCTGCTCTAATTTTTCTGAGATGTAGTCATTCTTTTTAGAGTAGGTGACTAGAAGCGTTGTATAGCCAAACTAAATTATTTTGACTTTCCATAGATATATGCTGTTAAGAATTATGTTTTAAAATACGAGGTTAGACAATTAAGTTCGTGAACTCATCCTAGGAAAAGTGCTACATACCTCATTGCTGAATAGCACTACAGTTCACCTCTAAAGTACTCCCCTTGGGAAGCTATGCACTGACGCCAGCACCTAGTCCACCTTTCAAAGCAATTTTGGAACTTTTTTTCTAGAATGGCCATCAGAGCTGTCATTGTATTACCCTTGAATGTCCTAAATGTCATCAAAATGTCTTCCTTTCAATATATCCTTTATCTTTGGGTGAAGAAAGAAGTTATTGGGGGTCTGGTCAGGTGAGTAGGGAGGGTGTTCCAGTACAATTATTTGTTTAGTGGCTAAAAACTCCCTCACAGACAGTGCCGTGTGAGCTGGTGCATTGTCGTGATGCAAGAGCCATGAATTGTTGGCAAAAAGTTCAGGTTGTCTAACTTTTTCATGCAGCCTTTTCAGCACTTCCAAATAGTAAACTTGTTTAACTGTCCAGTTGGTACAAATTCATAATTGAATGATCCCTCTGATATCAGAAAAGGTTAGCAACATCGTTTGCAACAAGTTTGCGAACTTAATTGCCAGACCTCGTATGCCTTCTTACTGATAATTAATATACAAAGGAGTAAAGAACATTTTTCTCCTCATAATTCCTTCAACCAATTCCTGTTAGAGTTTAGTGTTGAGAAAATTGTCACTTTCCTAATGAAGGAGTATATTTCCTTGTAACTCATTATGTTTCTATTTTGCCTTCTCTTCCAGGAAGCTAAGAGTCCAATTTTACGTCTTATTATAGTAACTATCTCTTATTTAGGCTTATAGTTCTATAATCTTTTCCTTTGCTATGTTGGTCTTCCTTTTATTCTTACTGAAATGGTCTATGTGCTGTGTGTATGTGTGCATATAAAGAGAACATATAAGTAAGTATGTAAGTGCCCCCAGCTTCCAGGTATGACCAGATTTTTTAATGCTTTAAGTCTCAATTTTTTCAAGCAATTTTAAAATGTGTGCTTATTATGAAATATCACTGTATATTGGTACAAATAATAAGTGGAAGGTTGCTCCCTTTTCATTCTCCAGAGATTTATTATTTCTAGCATGAAAATTTGAAATTGAAGTTCCAATTTGCCATAAGCTTAAGAATTCTATTATAGTTGTTTGGGTTTGCATTCTTATGGTTTTATTTCTGAATAAGATAATTAAATTTCTGAAAACTGACCAGAGTAGAAAAAAATGTCTCAAGAGGATTATATACTCTGATAAATTTTCTTTTATTGATATGATAGAGACCAGCTGTTTAAAAAGTGCATATTTTGTTTGGTTTTTGTTTATTTTAAAGCATACTTAATAAGTATGAAATTTTCCTGTTTCATATTTTTAATGATTCAGGATGACTCATTAAAAATTATTCAAAATGAGATTAATTTCCATTTCCCTGAAGTTAAAAAATAAGTAAATTCCAATATCATCACTAATATGACAACTTTTTTCTGTTAAATCTCTCCCAAGTAGTTGAAAAAGACAGCAGATTTCTTGCACAGAAAAAGCTCAGGTTGTTTTTTTTCTTAAAAAGAAATACTTAAAATGATTAGGTTATTAGACAGTCTGATTTGATATTTTATTTAGATACTTATTAGTTCTGAAACTTACAGATTCTGTTGCTTTTAAGATCTGTTGGTTGAAATAGGCTTTGAATTTGTTTCAAGTTCCTTTCATACTTTAGGTAGTTTAGGATAAATCATTAGCTTTCAGATTTCTTAAAGTGGTATTTAATAATGTCATGATGGTTATCATCATTTCTTTCCACTTCTATGTTATTACCTGGTTCTTCTTTTAGAAAGGGGAAATTAAAGTAGGATTGTGAAGAAATTAGCAAAAGGGTCTATTACTTGCTATTTGAGCCAGGAACGGTGGTTAAGAGATGTGAACAATTTTAGTGAAATATTTTTCAAACTTTTTGACTGTATCCCACAGTAAAAAATACATTTTACATTGCGTCCAGTACACAATTCATGTATATCTTTATATACATAACAAATAAATGTTTCAAGAAACAATACTTACCTTTCTGGGTGCATATGCAGTCTGATATTTCTATTTTATTTCATTTAAGATAACTGCTGCTTCCATCTCACTAAATTGCAACCTGCAATTTGAAAAATGCTGTTTTAGTATATTAATTATTTGTGTGTGTGTATAAATTCCCCCTCTACTAGCAAATAGAAGGCTGTTAGTAAAAACATATAGTACCTATATGAACATTTAATAAATGAAATTAATGAAATATTTCACAAGCATTGTGTCATGATAAAATATAAGCATTTTTACCTAAGCAAACGTAAAGTTTTTTTTTTTTAAATGACTCTAATATTTGTAACATTTATATTTTAGGATTCTTTTTTTAAAAATAAGAAAATATATAAACACTAATAAGAAATTATACTAATAGGTTATTTTTAAATGTAACCAGATTAATTACTGGGGTTCTCTTAATCATTATATTGGGCTAAATCTTAAATGTAGAGAGGGAAAAATAGTATACTTTAACTCAGGGTTTGGGAAACTTTTTCTGTAAAGGCCCAGCTAATAAATATTTTAGGCTTTGCAGACTGTAAGGTCTCCATTAGAACTACTCATCTATGCCATTGTAGTGTGAAACTACGTAAGCAAATAGAATGGCTGGATTCCAATGAAATTTTATTTATGGAAACAAATTTGAATTCCACATAATTTTCACATGTCCTGATATTATTTTTCTTTTGACTTTTTTCAACCAATAAAAAAATGTAAACACCATTCTTAGCTTTTTGGGTTGTAAGAAACAGATGATAGGCCACATTTGGTCTGCCAGCCATGTTTTGCCAACCCTTGCTTTAACCTAGAAATGGAGAAAGTCAATATTGGTCCAAAAAGGAGAAAATTTAGCAATTGTGATTAAGAATCTGAATAATCGTGTTAAATCTCTGAGCACTTATACCTTGATTTTTCTGGATATTATGAGCCGTGTACATTTTTGTGTTGTGTTTATGTTATGTTTTTGCAGACTGTTGATATTCATAAAGAGAAAGTTGCAAGAAGAGAAATTGGTATTTTAACTACCAACAAAAACACTTCAAGGACACATAAGATTATTGCTCCGGCCAACCTTGAACGACCAGTTCGTTATATTAGAAAACCTATTGACTATACAATTCTAGATGATATTGGACATGGAGTAAAGGTAAGTATAATTTTTGTCAAGCTTTTTAAAACAAAACCCCATAATGGACTAACTCTTTAGAAAATTTAGCTTTTATCTTTCCTTTCCTAGAGAACTAAGTCTTGGCCCAGTTGTAGTTCTGAAGATTCTTGACTACTATACCTGTTTTATCTTTCTTGCTTCTTAGTGCTCTGTTCTCAAGTTTTAAATGATTATCTTTGAATGAATTATATTTGCTTAATCAGTTATGATAATACCTCATCTAGACCTGGTAGATAGTGTGGTGTAATCTTTCTAATCTTCTAATGATTTAATATGACCGATTAAAAAATTATTCAGTACGTTAATAAGTATTTACCTTATCTCAAAAAGTTATCAGCAAAATTTGGGCATTAGTTTTCAGAAAGAACATAAATAAACAAACATGTATTTTGAATTTTCCTAAAATAATTTTATCTTTACATTTTAGGTGAGAATAGTGCAGACAGTAGGAATTAATATTTCCATTGTTTTTGAATATATAACCATTATATATTTCAGCAATCTTCTAAAATGTATTTGAGTGCCTGCTATGACACAAAGTACCATAATCAAAACTTAAGGAGCATGTAAATTAAATTGGTGTTTGTACTTAAGAAATTATTCAGAATTTTAGCTAAGTATTAAATTACTTAAAGTTTGCATCTCATCAGTGATTTGAAAGATAATGACTTACAAATGTGACTTTGAATAAATATATATATGCTTATGCGTGAAACTATAGTTTATGCAGTTAATCTGTGACTCTATAAGCAAGTTTAAATTTAAAAAATGTACTAGTATGGATAGAAATCAATTAAATCTAAATTTACTGTAGATCTAGGTGAAAGAAAATACGCAGTGTAAATTAAAACAAATTTTTTTCTTCCTCAGAAAGTTGATAATAAGCACTATTACCTGGAATTTGATATTTAATCTTATAATTGACACATTCATTTAGATTACTATGCTAATTAGAGCATGTTCACTTAGGACATGTAATTGGGTATATAATTAACTGAAATTCTAACTTGGGAAAATCTTTTGAGATCTATACAAGGCTAACAACCGCTAAGAAAATTTTAGAGGACTGCCAGAATCTAATGGAGAAAAGGTACTTAGAATATAAAACATCGTATTTGTGCTTGCCCATTTATATAATAAAATGTGATGCCCCCACTCCAATTCTTATTTATTTCTCAAGTAAAATGTTATTCTTCTGGGACTCTGTAGATGCTTTTATTGTTTGGAATTTTAGTGTTTAGGAGTCACTGATTTGAAGAAATCTTTAATAAAGTGAAGTTTTTGAATAAAACAGTATCATATAATTTCATCAAAAAAACTCTTGTTCATGACACATTCTGCTTTAACCACTCTTTCTATGATCTACTGAAACATTATTTTTTAATGCTGAATGCTTAACTTGTTTTTTCTTTGTTTTTTCCTTTCTCTTCACATCCTGAAGTTCCAACTAACCTTTCAATGCTTTTTTTCCTTACCTCTTTTATTTGCTCCATTTATGCATTAAGTGGTTGCTTAGATTTAAGGTAAGAGATTCCAGGGCTGGATTTCCATTCTTGGTTCTTATGTAGAATATTACATATGGGGAGTGAAGAGATATTTGGCACTTGGCCTTTTAAAACCAGCGAATAATTCCTCTTTTTATTTATTTATTTTTGTCATGCAACTTTGTGGTATCTTCATGTTCCATCATGAGGGCAGTTATTTTGTCTGTTCGGTCATTTCCCTACCTTCTGTGCCTAGAACAGCACCCGACTACACATTAGGTGCCTAGCAAATATTTATTGAATAAATGGTTATTTTGCAATGTTAATATATTTTGTGAAACTGAAATGTAAGTTACCCTATCATGAAATGTCATTATAAAATAAAATTAGCTGGATTTTATAAATGTAGAAATTTATGGATTGGAGGGCCAACTAATGTGCTTCATTTAACCCTCCCCCTGTGTAATAGCCTTTTTATTCTATAAATGGTGTGCTTTATTCTATACCCTGTGGCCACTGTGTCATTATCTCTTGACTTATATTGAATGTAAAGAAATTGAGAAGCAGATAATATTCAGTTAAGGGTTTTTTTTTTAAGTTGCAGTATCATGTGGTTTTCAAAAAACAAAATTAATATTTTTTCTCAAATTGCTATATAAAATATGTTTCAATATAAAATCACTTTAAGAGTTTTCCAAGCTGAGAATTATACTCACAACATCAAAAGCTCATGATAGTGTTTAGCAAAATACAAGTTAAGAATTAGAGAAATAGTTCCTTTTGTTTGTTTGTTTTCAGTAACATTTTAGTATTTTGAGGACTAATGGTAAAAGACATTCAAGTATATTCAAGAAGCCTGTCAAATAGAATGTTACAAAAATTATTTTCGTCCAACTGAGCATGCATTTCCTTTTTGTTTCTTTTCTTAGCTAAATTTTATAATTTCTTTTCAAATACCTATTCTTTCTTCCTAAAACCCAGTTGTTTATCATATCTTCAGTGTAGAAAGTGATACAAGAAGACAGGATGACAGAACTGAATCATGAACTAGCTACTAACCACGCCACAGAAACTTCAGTAGATCACTGTAGAGAGATACGACTAGAGAAGCCCAGGCAAATGTACTTGTGTTACAGATTAGGGTGTTGGCCCCAAGCCCTTAGTTTTGATGACTGAGGCATGTGGAATTGTGAGGCGATTCCTTTTGCATAAAATAGAACTAGACCCATAGCAGTGTGTGGCTACCTTGGCTGTTTTCCTCTAAAGTCTGTTTCCAAATTTTGATTATTCATGTGTTAACCTCCAACATGATAGAAGTACACAGAAAGGTTAACAGAAGGAAAAACACAGAAATGGGCCAATTCTTTTCTCCTGAAGTTTAGACCAGCTTGCCTAACATACTGTTTTATGCTCATTTCCTCCAAACTCTGCTATGATTACTTCTTGAACTTCCTGGTACATGATCTGTTCCATATGGGAGATAGGCCAAAATGAGTGGGAAATGAGAGACTCCTTGAAAGAAAGATCTAATAAATAACATCACACTTGGATACGATTCCTTAACATCTTTGCTCTTTGCTCCTTAGTACAGTGGCTCTACATAGTTGTTTCTGTCATATCTGGGTAGAGCTGACAGAGTGACAAGAGTACCCTGGGTTCATCCTAGAAGCTAGAATGTGCCAGTGCTGTCTTTCCTGCCTTCCTATTCTTTGTGAATATGTCTGTTGTATCTATAAATTTGTGGCACATAGTTAATAATTTTGGGTGAATAAAAACAAAGTAGAGTGAAAAAAACTGAGCATATAATAAATCATTTCTTCTTTTATGCTGGTAAAAAAAAAGTTAGTATGTTTGGAAGGGTGATTAAGGGAATAATTGAATACATTAAGGTAGAGTAAGAAAAATGTTAGCTAGAAAGTAAGAAATAAAAAAATGTTCAAGTTGGAAGGGACTGCAAGTAATAAACTAGTCTGATGAATTTCCAGCCGAGCTTCTTGGAGACCTGTGGATTATATCTAATGCCCTAGAAGCCTGCTGATGTTTGATAGGGTATCTGCGAGTTTGATTTCCTCCCCAGCTCCCTGAGCTCTGTCTTGTTCCCATTGCTGTCAGACTTTGATGCCTTTCAGACAGACTCTAACCAAAGTTTGTACTAAGGGACCAGACACATGGGATTTAACTCAGAAGAAACCCCATGCTTAAAAGTCAAATTTTTAACATTTTATACACCATATACTGGTGGTGTTTAATGGTTCTTTTCATCTGAAGTTGAGGTTGTTTTTTCTTCAGTTAACTGAGGATAACAAGTTGTAGAGTTTAATTCATAAGACCTTTGAAAACAATGTGTGTTTTTTTTTTTCTTTTTTAACAGCAAAAGGCACAAAAACCTAATGGATAGAATGCCATATTGGAAGTGTTTCAATATATACATGAGGCCATATAAAAGTAGAATGTACCTTGAACTGGGGTACCCTTTCCCTCTATTTTAATAGTATAAAGAATGTTAAGGCCCTGTTCTTAATGTATTCAAAATGGATTTTTCTGTTGAAACCAGTAAAGTTGTCATTAATGAAACTTAGCTTAAGTGCTTTTTAAATAAGTATATTATTTTAATCAAAAATAGTAAAGACTTACGATCTGTTATAGTAGTTCAGTTGAACATTCACAAGCAGATTCTAAATAATTAATGAGGTGGGGTTAAGAGTTTATTTTACAACTAACATGTTAAGATTATAACACTTTTGAAAATTCTGCTTTGAATCTTGGAGATTCATAACTTAACCCCATGTAAAAAAAATGGGCTGTTTTTCACTTGAGTGTGATTTTTGGAGATTTTTTTTTTTTTTTTAGCTGAGCCATCCTGCCACCTGTTGGTAGCTCAACAGCTGCTCAGCTCGGGCCGGGACTCGAACTGCTGTTGCTCAGAGCTCAAACTCTTGAGCGAGCTCTTAACCAACTGAGCCATTCAGCCGGCCCTTGGTGTGATTTTTAGCAAGTGTTTGTCATTCCCTGCAGAAAGATGACAAATTGCCCCTCACATTTTTAGCTCTCAGGTACAGCTGAGCATTTATTTGACACAACATTTGGGAGAAAAACTCCATAACAACAGCAACCCTTGGGAGACCTGTTTGTTATTGCCCATTAGTTCCAATTGGAAGCCACCAGTTGTATTTTGGCAAAAGCCAGTTGTCAGAAACTGTTTTCAAAATCAAGCAGAAGTTTGCCCAACTTTATTCCCCTTTTCTTCTCCTCCTCTCTTTACTTGCTTCTCTCCCCTCTTACTCCTAAACTCTTATTCCCTTATCTCTGTATTGAATTATTTTAGGACTCTTGGCACCTTAGGCTTTTTGTCTTTCTAACTCACTTATTAAAAATTTTGCCTCTCTCCTAAATTTATACTTGAGTTCCTGATTTCAGCTTTGATTTCCCTCAGAGGATCTCCTGGTCCTTTTCCTGGTAGTCATGAGAATTGAAGTAGGAACATATATCCTCTGAGGAGAGGGATAGAGATCTTTAGGAAGCCAGAGAATTATGCCCTGGATGGGACTAATGGAGAACAATACCGGACAGCCAATGAAGGCCCAGAGGTGCTTGACCATGGCTTCCTTCTGCCCATCCTCATTACTCCACATCCAGACACAACCTAGACATACTACTGCTCTTTTATTTTAAATCCTGCTTTTATAAAGGAACTGCTCCTACCTCCAGTATCATCTGCATTCCTTAGTAACAGTCCAGTGGTAAAGCATTTGAGCTGTGGCCATGCATTTAACCTTCATCACCTAAATGAAATATTTTTTTCTGTTTTGAGGGTTTCTCTCTGGTAGGAAAAAAAAAGTGACCTTTCCTACTGTTCCTCCTTGTGCCTAATACCTGCTTTACTTAGCTCTTGATGATGACTTTCCCTTTATGGAATTAAAACAAAACAAAACCCCATATAATTGAATTATTGTAATCAGCCAACAAAGTTTCATTCCAACTCCCAAATAAAACTGAAAATTATAACGAGCGTTCCCACCCATGACTCAGGACCATTAACTACACGTTTATGTGCCAGATGATTGTTCTGCTTATGTTGGCAATTTTAATAAAAGTTTCATGAAGAATTACTATTATGAACTGGGTGCACTATTGCTTTATTTTCTTGGTCCTGAGTTTGTGGTGTGTGTCTCTCTTTCCCCCCCATTCCCCTTTACCACAAACACAGTTTTGTCATGTGTTTTGCCTCTTGCCAGGAAATGTTATTTTCCCCTGTAAACTTTTCCTGAATCTAGTTTTTAGAACCAGGATAGCTGGCTATCCAGTAAATTTTTTTTATCAAATCTTTTAGATTTAAAATATTTCTTAACTTTAAATGTAATACAGATCCCACTTATAATAAAGAAATTGTTTGGTTTCACAGTTATTCCTGTATTCTTTCTTTTTTGTCAAATTAGTCGGCAGTATTTCTATTTATAGCAGCATATTTATAGCATACTCATTATTTAGCATGGAAACATTTTCCACAAAGTATGTTTCTACCTTAAGAAATATTGAAAAACTATTTTGTTTAATATAAAGGTAGTACAGTATCATGAAGTATAAATTATAGATTTTTTTGGACATTCTTCAGGGACTCTGGTTTCTTAAGTGATTTAAGTTACTCATCCAAACTTCATTAACCAAATACAATCATTTGATGATTCTACACATCATAAAATGTATCAAATTTTATTTATAGAAATGTCCACCAGATTTTAATTTATAGATTTTTTATATTATTTTGGGGGCTGGGGGTGGGTTGATTAAAAGTCTTGAGGAAGATACTGCAATTTAAATAAAAATACCTTACATACCAAAACTGAAAGTTGGAAAGCTGTTTTCAAGTATTTTAGCTATTCCATGTATAGAATAAAATTTTCTTTTACTCTTTTTCTATCCCTGCTCCTTTTCCTTCCTATTTATAGCAAATTGATGTAGTTTAGTGTTTGGTTCACCTACTTCTCCCTCATCACTTAAAGTAACTTTGGGTTTTATGTTATTTAAGGTTGAGCTTAAAGGACTTTGGTTACTACTTAAAAAAATCTTCTGGTATCATAAATTAAGATTTACAGTTTTAAAAGCTATTGGTTATTTATCATATTACTCCTAAAATTATCCCTGATTGTGGTCTAATTTTTTTAAAAACTTCTGGCATTTTCATTTTAAGATATTAGTATACCCTCTGCTTATTAATGAGGGGGAGAGCAAGGATAAGTTATCTTTATTTTTACTTGATAACCAGTTTGTTTTATATTTATTGTTTAAAAGCAAAAAAAAAGGATTACTATACATGCTTCACTTTAAAGATATTGACATTTCAAAGGTATCATTTGTCATTAAAGATTGTTTTATCATCACACACAACTTGTTCACTGGGCTATTCATTTGAAGGATTTGTTTCTTGATATATTATTTCTTAACAAATAGTATTTATAAGCCAGTTAATTTTGATAGCCTCAGTACTCTGTACTTATGATTTGTACTTATCATTTGTTTTCTTAAAATTTATATTTTGAAATTACAATTATAAATGATTAGAATTTCAGTGGCATAATGTCTTGAAGTTTCATTTTACAAGAATAATTTGAATACTCTAGACATATTCTTATTAGAAAAGTTAAGATAATTTTTGAAGTTTTTGGTAATCCAAAATATTTAGAGCTTAAAATAGGGTCAGGTATGAACCTATGTGTTGAACATTAACTCCAACCTATTGGTAATCTCAGTTGGAGATTGCATTTGAACTATATTTGTGAATGACTTCTCTTAGCTCCTTAAGATATCCAGATTGCTAGGGCTTTCTGTATATGTGCTGACATACTCCTGGGGCCGTATCCCTTGCTCCCATATTACCCAGCTTTCCTACATTTGCATTTTTAGTTGGGCATAGAATAATGAGGAGTCATGGCCCAGCTCTAATTTAGGACTATGCTACTTACATCTTTCCCGTGACTCAGTTAATCTTCATTTGGGCTTAAGTGGGTCTCATTCGCACTGGGACGAGGACATTGCTAGTGGTCCCTGTACTGCTCACAGTTGAATGGGATATCTCAGCCCTGACTTTCTAGTTCAGATATTTAGGAACATGCCTTTAACTTCTGGCAGTTTTCAGGTAGGTGATTCCTTCATAAAAGAACATTAAAGACATCTGAATTGTAAGGCTGATCTACCATTTAAAAAACTAAAATGTTTTTCTGTACATCATGCAGTTTGTAGTCTCTAGTTAATGGATCAAAACTAGTTGTATATTTTATTTGGGAAACATGTATTTTGTTTTTTATGATAATACTTGCTATCTTAAAAGCAAGGATTTGCGTAAGGGTGTTTTTGTTTCGCATTGAGTTACTATTTATCAAAACTAAAGTTTTTATAGTTATCCAATTTCATTTCAATTGAGTGAATGTAGTATCAAATAGTCTAACCAGTGATCTGTTGGTGTGATGGCCTAATGGCAAATAAAGTCTTTGCATACACATTTATAATCCTTTGAAAATTTCATGTTAGGAAGAGTCCTTTGAGTACAACTGTAGAATAATAGTAGAGTAGAAATTGCATATGAAATGCATGGCCTCTAATTTTTTTTTCCTGTTTAAACCTTCCCCTCCTTTGTTAAATAGCATAACATTATTTCCCAAAAGGCCACTTTGTTTCAGTGCATACAAGTTGAGTTTTCCTCAAAAATTTTTTAGGTGAGTACCCAGAATATGAAGATGGGTGGGCTGCCGCGTACAACACCTCCAACTCAGAAACCCCCCAGTCCCCCTATGTCAGGGAAAGGGACACTTGGGTGAGTATGTAACTAAGTAATAATTGAAAACCATTTCATATAGTGTTGTTGAAAACTAAACACTGCATATATATTTAAATTATTTTTTAATATTTGAAAAGAACTTCTTTTCTAGGATTATCCTTTTTGTGTGTAACTTTCCCTTTTCATGGGAAACATCTTTATACTTTAAAAAGATTTTCTTTAGAAATTATTTTTCTATGAATTTCAAATTTGAGATAAAATCCTAGCCCAAGTTCATGGTTTATTATAAATTGTACTCTAATTCCTATTGTCATAAATTTTTTTGAGTCTTTCATATTAGCAATTGACTATTCTTATTCTGACTATTCCTCTGAGGAACACTGTGTAGATCACAGAATTCTGAATAGTTCAGGTTGTTATGAGAATATTGAGTTTTAATTCAGTCCTACAGAAGTAGGCTCCAGATTTGACCTTTGGCAGAAATGGTCAATTAATAGAAAAACTGGACCTTTTTTTCTTCAATAGTATCATAGTATAAAAACTTGGCTTATCATGGAGATTTGTGTTCAGGTGGGCATAATATACCCTAGAAGCCAGATGACCAAAATTGTGGTTCAGCTCTGCTCCCGCTCTATGGTCTTGCATAGTTAGCCTCTTAGCATTTCAGTTTTTTCATCTGTAAAAGGGGGTAATATTTATCATCTTGTCAACTTTTCAGAGTCACTGTACCATGAATTGGATTTTAAAATGTATAAGACAAAGACAAAATGCTTTGACAACCATTGGCTTTATGATATATGCTTACAAAATTTTAATTGACAATCTTGGTTTTGGCCCCCTCACCAAAAACAAAAACAACATCAACAAAACACAAACAACAACAACAACAAAAACCCAACCTAGTCAAGCACTGTGGATCAGGACAGAGATGAGTTGGGATATAAAGGAGGATAATGCTGGGAGAGGAATTAGCTAGGGCAGTGGGAAACAAAAGAATAAAAATGAATTCCAACCAGGAAATAGGATATTTTTACTTGGGGTGGACAAAAAAAAATCTGCTAAGATTAGGAGGAACGAATCCAGTAAAGGGTGGTGTGTATGCATGTGTGTGTGTGTGTGTGTGTGTGTGTGTGTGACATGGTAGGTATAATTGTGCAGGGGTAAGAGTAAAGAGTCAGATCAAGAGGAAGTATTTGTTTTATTTTCCTGTGGAACTTCTACATTTCTATCATGTATAGTACCTAACCGATTTTGTTAGGTTGTAAATCAGGATTGTTAGCAAGATAACCCACTGTATTCTCTAGTAAATAAAGCTTTCAGTTCCTCTCAAATTTTGAAGATATGTATCCTATGTATTAGCAGGGGTTCTGCAGATTCCTCAGTAAGCTGGTTGATGGTCATAGCCCGGCTTTTTCACATAGCCTTTGCCTAGCCACCGTAGTTTGTTCTGCATAGTTCTCAATCAGCAAAGGGTTTTTTTGTTTGTTTGTTTTGATTGAAACAGAACATTCTTGTTGTCTGGGAAAAATTGTCTGGAAATTAGATGTTTGCAAATTAATCAGTTTCCTATTTTATGTTTTTTATATTTACATCATAATTTCAGAGATGCCTAAACTTCTTTTTAGTATTTTAAATCCAAGGTTCTGACATTCTTTTTTCTTCCTTTGACTCAATATCTCATCTAGTGCCCCTTATTTATTTTTAATTATTAATGTATATATGTATTTATGCAAGGAGATTTTGAGCGTAGTAGAGTGGACAGTGTCATTGCAGAGTGATTTCATCCAAGATCAATGAATCGTAATTTGAGTAGCCCAGGAGAGCAGTGTGTAAAGGAACTTTGGGAGATTTGGAGGAGTGAATTATTGAGAAATTCATAAGTCAAGGGAGCAATATCATTTCAGGAAAAGAAAGCTTTTAATTTTCACATCTTTTGAGATCCCAGTATTTTTATTCTTTTAAAGACCAGAAGCTCGTCTACAAAACGTCAGTTGAGTATTTATTGTCATAAAGAATTTGGAAACTTAGAGATGAGAACTAATTTAATAACTAATGTTCCAGTGTGCATTGTATTTCCTATCATAATTTCCTTTCTTACTCTTCCCATTCTCTTCCTTTAAAAGGAAATTTTGAGAAAAATGAAATGTGTGAATAAAATCCAGCCTGTTTTGTTCTTTACAGTTCAAAGTAAATAAGGTAGAAAGACTTAGGTGGTCGTTTTTTTTCTCCCTTTTAAATACTGAACTCTGAGGGAGGGTAAAAGGTAAGAGAGAGCAAGGTGAAAGCTGAAGGAGGATGTGAGGTGAGACTGGAAGGAGATGAGAGTAAACTATGTATTCTTGTGTATGGATATAGTTTAATTTGTATGTATTTACTATATAGAAAGGGAAATACAGGGTTATAGTTGCTATTGATCATCAGTTGTGGAGTTTCTCTTTAAATATCTGGTTAGGGAGAGAGGGGTGAGGAAGATAATTAGTGCATTCATGCAGTGCAGTTAGGAGACTTTGACATAGTAATAGTACTAAAATAATTCGAACTCATACAAGAAAAGAAGAGAGTCTGGGAAACACTTTGATTACCTGGTGGGAGAATCTTCATGCTCTCTGAGAATGAATGAACAAAATTGCATTAGCACAGGGAAATGAGGTTGGAGACTAAAAAATAATACTCAACGAAACCCTAATGGTAGAGAAGTGATACTTAACAAAAGACAAACTGGTAGCTGGGTTATCGTAAAACACATTTTCCTATCTCTGAGTATAAATTGTATTTCACTACTGGCAACTCTTTGAATTTATTGTGCCGAAACTTGCTAATCACACGATACATACGCTCTTCTTTTTGTAGGCGGCACTCCCCCTATCGCACACTGGAGCCAGTGCGTCCTCCAGTGGTACCAAATGATTACGTACCTAGCCCAACCCGTAATATGGCTCCCTCGCAGCAGAGCCCTGTGAGGACAGCTTCTGTGAATCAAAGAAATCGAACTTACAGGTATTTTCTCTACCTCAGCGCAAAATACGATGGTCATAGTACCATAATTTGTTCAGAAAACTTCAGTTACATCTCTCTCATTTTCCAAGCACTAAGTTCTTTACCTCACTCTACTCTCCCAAACCTCATCTGATTCTACCTCTCTCTCCTCATGTTCTGATGAAATTTTGAGCAGTCAGAAAGTTGAAATGACAAAAAAAAAAAAAAAAATCAGTGCAAACTTCTCTACAAAATTACTAGTTATAGTTGACCTAAAAAAAAAAAGCTATGGGAAATTTCAAGTTGTTTTTTGGTGGAACTTTACAGATGAAAAACCATATACAATAAAACATGGCAGAGTATGTCAAGATAACATTACAAATAAGATTAAATAATCTGTTTAGGAAAACTATGTTTTTATTATAAGTTTCTTCACACAGGCATTAAGGTGGAGTAAAAGAAAGTAATATTTTTATGTGTTGAGCCCTATCATTTATCACTTATATTTATGGAGAATTTTTTTTCTTATTTCTTTCTCATTTCCTTTAATTCATGCTTATTAAAAGGTGATCAAAACAAGTTTCTTGAACTCATCTGTTTCCTTTACTTTTTAAGAAATTCATATTTTAAGTGGAAGGCTTGTGAATTTATTATGGCTATATTCATTACAGAAAGTTTTGGGACATGCTGGTGATATCTTCCTGTATATAAACGCTCTTGTTTTGGTGGCTCTTATTTCTTTAGCAGCAGTGGGAGTAGTGGAGGAAGCCACCCAAGTAGTCGGAGCAGCAGTCGGGAGAACAGCGGAAGTGGGAGTGTGGGAGTTCCCATTGCTGTTCCCACTCCCTCCCCTCCCAGTGTCTTTCCAGGTAAAACATGAATGGTGCTTCATCGTCACTTATCCTTTCTGAATTTGAATTCAATTTGTGATTTAATTCCAGTGGGCTTTCTTACATAATAATCATGGTTTATTATTCCTAATTTAGGACTCCATAAATGTTGGGACATCTTTATGCATTTGTTAGTTTTAACCAAGTGATTTGTAACTATGCTCACACACACCCCCTTTTTGGTTTTATGTCTTTGGTGCTGTAGCTCAGTTGGTGCTTTTCAGGTATCACATGGGTATCAGTTAAATGTTTAATTCCAGCTAGTATTATGACAGTGCATGCTTTCGGACACAGTGGGGACTCAGTGTGAGAGTCACATTTGTAACAAAGGTTTGGACAAGTATCAAAGTAGTTTTGACAGTTAAATTTAGTGGACTTGTTGGAACTTGATAGTCTCCTAAATGCTACTTCTTTCCTCTGAAATAGAAAAATGTGCTTATTTAATCTGAGGAAACCAAAGTTAAAATTTAGTTTTAAAAGCATGATACAGAAAACATAGGTTAGAATATTACATATTTAATTTACTTGTCTATTAACAATATATAATACCTTTTCAAAAATCATGAAAAAGAGATTTGTGTTTTTCTGAGTGCTTTGTTTACATGATATTTATGTCTGGAGTATGTTTATTTTCTGATTTGTGTAATTCAGAATGGAATGCTGTTGTTTTCCTAGTGTATTTATGTTTAGTTTTGTATACTAGTTAACAGAATGTTATGCTAAAGATTACAATATAAAGGGAGCACTTTTCTTCTAGAGTAGTGGCTGTCATGTAAAAAGGAATGCTTGTTTTTAATGAATTTAAAAATCTGTACATTACCCTAGCATCTTGAATTATTTACTGCAAACCTAATAATCCTTTAACATAAGCTTCATTCTTTCTCTCTCTTTTTTTTTTAACACTCTCTCCTTTGGTTGGTGTTGAGCATTGAATATCTAGCATTAAGTTCTCTAATGCCTTTTCTAATCCTGCCTAAGGGACTGCCTCATTAATGCTGCCTCTTACTCCTCTTCCCCCTCAGCCCCTGCTGGCTCTGCTGGTACTCCTCCCCTTCCTGCTACTTCCGCCTCTGCCCCCGCCCCTCTTGTTCCTGCTTCTGTCCCTTCCTCCACTGCCCCAGACGCCGCTGCTGGGGGTGCCCAGACCCTTGCTGATGGCTTCACTTCTCCAACTCCCCCTGTTGTTTCTTCCACCCCCTCTACAGGTGAGTATTGGCTTATTCCTTGGCAAGCAAATCCAATCATCTGGCTCTTCTCTTACCTGGAACTCTGGCTTTATGATTTTTGTTTGTGTGTGTATGTATGTATGTATGCGTGTGTGTGTGTAACGAATGTACTAACTAGAAAATAGCATGTGACCAAAAAGTAGAGTATTCTGAGGAAATCAGGGTAAAGTTTCTTACACTTTTTTCTAATAGAGTAGCATAAATATACATATTTTTTATTGCTTGAATTTCGTTTAGTAGAGATTTGTGAATTTAGTATGGAGCTGTCTTCTGTACAGTTTTGAAAAGTTGTCATTAGATATTGCTTATTGCAAGTTTCATTAACAAAAAGTACATGCCAATGATTCTAAGGTACATTTTATTGGAAATATTTGATATTACAGTTTGAAAGTCTCTATAAGTCTATTATAACAGAACCTATTGCTTATTATAGAGCAGCATTGGAAACATACAGACAATGGGCTTTTTAAGAATTTCAGGTTCATTTATGTGTTACTTAAGGTTGACTGGTGTTTTAGTGTTTTAAAATTGCAACCTAAAATCTGTTTTATGATGGGGAAGTGAAAAGGGCCCAATTGTTACAACATATATTTGCAAAGTTAATAGTGATGCTGGTTAGTAAATAAGTTCTTATTTGGACACACATCACAGTAGCTTGCCAAATACTTTTATAGAGCTCTGCTGCTATAAACAGATGTTTAAATGTTTTAAAAGACACTTTGAGTTTTGGATGGTGTTTTGTGGGATAGCTTCTATAATAGCACTTTTAAAGAAAAGCTTTCTACAGTAGGTAAGTGTAACATGGGCTGTTCTTTGACCTATGTACAGCTCTGTTATGCCAGACTGGCTAGTTAAATATAGGAATCTTGTTATGCTTCTGCATTAATACATCTTGAAATTGGTTGTAGTCTCAGAAGGGACAAATCACCCCCCTGAGAGTCAATTTTTATAATTTAATAACAGGTATTGGTTCATAGTCTGCACTGAATAAACATTTGTTGGATGAGTGGATAATTATAGTTCTGTATTATAATAGTTCTGTATTAAACAAAAAGCAAGGAAGTAAGTGCCTCAATAACAATTTATATGAATATAATTTTTTATACAGTGTCCTTGAGTCACCAAGTACTTTTTTATTTTTATTAATGTATAATTTATATACAGTAAAAGTTACCCTTTTTTAGTGTGTATGTCTGTGATTTTTTGAAATATATTCAGTGATGTAACCACAACTACAATCAATATTTAGAACAGTCCTATCATCCCCAAATTTCCTCCATGCCCCCTTTGTAGTCAGCCCTTCCCTTTCACTGCAAGCCACTAGCAACCACTTGATGTTTTTGGTCTCCAAAATTTTGACTTTTTAGGAATATCATGTAAATGGAAGCATGTGGTATATAGCCCTTTGGTCTGGCTTTTTGGCTCAAAGCATTTGAGATTTATCAGTGTTACATGTTTCATTATTTTATTCCTTTTTATTACTGAGTAATGTTCTACTGTATGGATATGTACAATTTCTTTATCCCTTTCCCAGTTGGAGGGACATTTGGATATTTCCAGTTTGGGGTGATTATGAATAAAATTGCCATAAACATTTACACACAGACTTGTGTGAGCGTAGGTTTTCATTTCATTTGGGTAAATACCTAGGAAGAAGGATTGCTGTGTAGTATGGTAAGTTTAACTGTCAAATTGTTTTCCCAAGTGGCTGTACAGTTTTGCACCCCACCAGCAGTGTATGAGACTTCCAGTTGCTGTGCATACTTGTTAGCACTTGGCATTGTCAGTTGATTTTTTTAAACTTTAGCCATTCTAATAGGTTTGTAATGTAGTTCTGATTTGCATTTCCCTAATGACTAATGATGTAGGACATCTTTTCATATGCTTCTTTGCCATCTGTTTATCTTTGGGAAAATGTTCAAACATTTCTCCTCTCCCTTTAAAAAGGATTGTTTTTCTTACATTGAGTTCTTTTATATTTTGAATACAAGTCCTTTGCAAATATTTTCTTCCATTTTGTGACATCATCTCATTCTCTTAATGGTGTCTTTCAAAGAACAGAAGTTCTTCATTGTGATTAAATCTAGTTCATTAATTTTATGTTTTTTTGTGAGTTGTGCTTTTGGTGTCATATTTACTGACTCCTTACTTTACATAAGGTTTTAAAGATTTTATCTTGTTTTCTTCTAAAAGTTTTTCATTATAGGTTTTATAGTTAGGTCTATGGTAATTAAACTGTAGTTTTATTTATTTTTAAGTGAATAGTGTTACCTTTTTTTAAGTTAGTTTCAGGTGTACAAAGCAACGTAATAGATAGACATTTACCCCCCTCACAAAGTGACAACCCCCTCCCCCAATCTGCTACCCCCCTGACATCTTAAATAGCTGTTACGATACCATTGACTATCTTTCCTATGCTGTACTCCACATCCTGTGACTGTGTGTGTGTGTGTGTGTGTGTGTGTGTGTGTGTGTCTCTTTTAATTATAGTTTACAGTCAGTATTGTTCTACTTCAGCTTCAGGTGTATAGCGCATTGGTCAGGCATCAACACAGACTATGAAGTGATCCCCCTGATAAGTCCAGTGCTCATCTGGCACCCTACATAATCTTTAGAACATTATTGATTATATTTCCCATATTGTATTTCATATTCCTGTGACTATGTTGTGACTACCAGTTTGCAGTTTCTGATCGCTTCACCTTCTACCCCATTCCCACCCCCAATTTTATTTTGTTTGATTTTCAACCCAAAGCAAAGTAAATGCCTTATTAGTATTATACATAGTCTCTTTTATGTAGTGTCTCTGAATCACTGAAGACTTACCACATGTGGGATTTTAGATTGGATCTAACTATATAAAATTCATAATGGTGTTATCAGATGTTTTTAATTTGATGATCCTAGGTTTGTATTGGTGTGTTAGAGATTAATTACTAAAATGGCAATAATGTATTTGTATCTGGTGATTCAAATGACAAAATGTACCTTTTAAATAATAGTTTATTAGTTTATACGTTTTTATAATTTTTATCATGGTTACAGAGACTTGACAGTGGATTTTGTTTAAACTTGAATACTCAAGATTTTTATACAACTGAATTGATTTTTAAATTTTGATACTGTCATATATAAGAAGATTAAATGGTATAGCAGAAAAGTAGTTTTTACTTTCTTTTCTCCTCTCCTCCTCCCTTCCTTCCTCCCTTGCCCTTTCTCCTTTCTTTTTCCTTCCCTTCTTCTTTCTCTTCCCCTTCTCTCCTTCCCTCACCCTTTCTTCCCCTGACACTTCTCTTCCTTGCTTCTCTTCTCTCCCTCTCTCTCCTCCCCCTTTCCTCTCTTGCCTTCTAGAGTGATGTCTCAGGATGATTTAATGCTTTGTGTGTCTGTAACATTAGGCCTTCAGCTGAGTGATTTTAAGGGGGAGTGGAATCAAGATAAAATTTAGGAACTGGATTGTTAGGAAATTAATAGATTAGGAAAGAGTGTCTTCATTTGGCATTAGCTATTGAAGTACCCTCAAAAAACAAAATACAGTGAGATTGCTGATAAATATGTATAAGTTCATATTAAAAATGAAATATATTTTGATTCACTTTTTGTTTCTTAGGTTTTTTTATAATTGTAAGTTTCTTAAACTAATTTTAAGACAAAATTTAGTTTTAGACATGGATATCTTTCCTTGAATAAAGATGTGTTTGATTTGGAATTATGTAACTTGACCTTTTGTTGGAAATATTTTATGTTTTCCTTTCATTGCTTTGGAACCTTAAATTTACTATTATTATTATTATTATTATTATTATTATTATTATTATTTTGTAATAAGACTGTGTGTCAAATATATTTTTTTTCTTTCCCAATGTCATTATTATCTTATTGAGTTTAGTTTTCAGTGTTTAGTGGATGTGTTTTTTGTGGGGGGAGAGAGAGCCATAAATTTTAATTGTGATGAATTTGAAATCCTATCAAATTATTAATATAATAAAATCATATTAATTTTTAATCTATTTAGATATAGCTCTTCCAAACCTAATCATAATTTTATTTGTCTGTTTTGCTGCTTTTGCACTCATATAATGTCAGCTGAGCAATAACTGTCGCCTTGCATTATATTTGTCAGATAACTAAATTTGCTCAACATTGTTATTTTGAATATTCTTATTAAGATGTGCACATTATATCTAAAGTATTGCATTGTCTGATACAATTTTCTTTTAATGACAAATTCGTGTTCTGTTCCTTTCCCAGGTCATCCTGTTCAGTTCTACAGCATGAATAGACCTGCCACTCGCCATACTCCCCCAACAATAGGGGGCTCGTTGCCCTATAGACGCCCCCCTTCCATAACTTCACAAACAAGCCTTCAGAATCAGATGAACGGAGGACCTTTTTATAGCCAGAATCCAGGTTAGATATTCTTTTGCATTCTATGGAATATATCTGATTAACAACCATTAATTACAAATGATTACATGATAGGTGGTTAGTACTGTTTTTTGAATGAATGGAGGTTGCTAATACTGTGTTTTCCAGTTCTTTTTCTTTTTTTAAAAAATCAATACATGGTTTCCATATAAAGTTTGTAGAACTTAATTTTTTTGAATTAAGAATCTTTTTGAATGTAGTAGTGATTATTTGCTTTTAAAAATAATATTGTGATAAACAGTATTTCCTGTCTATTTAATCAGATATCCTTGCTCTGTGAGTAGCAAATAATGAAAATTGAGTGTACATGGACAGAGTTGATAAGTTGCATAGTAAAAGGGCAGTGACATTTTGGAAGCTACTTTGTGTTAATATAGTCATACTGTCTTATTCAATTCTCATACCAAACCTATTATGGGAAAACTGGGAGTTGGACAGATTGATCCAGATGTAACAGTCATCTTTCAGCTGCATCATGCATACAGAAAACAATCTGGCACATATTTTATACTATATGTAATCATTATTTTTGCCTCTTCCCCAGAGAGGGTAAGAGTAACTCTTAGACTCGATGACTATTGTGGACATGATATGTCAACTTACTGTGTTTTTCTGAATTTTTGTCAAAAGGTTTAGTATGCCTGTGTGTGATCATGTTTAATAAAGGGGATAGCCAATTCCATCTTTGATTAAACCCTGAATTTTATGGAGCTGAAATCCGTCTACTACAGCTAGTACCTTTTGGTGAAAACTTGTTATATTCTTTGGAGTTGTGCAGAAGAAATTTGATCCTCCTGCATAAATGCAGTTTAAAGAATGTTTTTATATTTATTACCTCATTTGATTCTTATAATCATGTATTTTACAGGTGAGGAAACTGAGGCTGAGTTGATGGTCAAGTTAGGATTTGAACTTAGGTCTTCTGACTTTTAATTCCCTGTTCTTTTTATTGTACTGTCCTTTCTACCTTCAGATTTTGAAAAATCTTTCTGTTACTCTCCCAAGTCTTCTCTTTTTTTTGAAGAGGAGGATGCCCACATTGTAATGTAAAGTTGTCAGTCTTTTATACAATTTTATCCTGGAAATAGTGCTCAGTAACTATTTGTTGAAGGTGGAATGAGTCCCTTGTTCTTTTATTCAAACCCCTTCACTGTTTTTGGTCCCTCTTATAAATTAAATGCCATATTTATAGTCTAACCAGTGCACACTGTAGTGTGATTACCAACTGCCTTACTTGAAATATACTTAACTGCTGTCTTTGATCACACTTAGTGATTTTGGCTGTGTCATTGTTTTTTACTCATTTTGAGCTTAATTTTGAAAATCTGCCTGTCTTTTTCATGCATTCTCTTTTAAGTCATGTGTTCCAAATCTATATTTGTATAGGATCTGTTTTGTTCAAAAAGGCATTTTTTATTTTTAAATTTTAGTTTGGTTGATATGGGTTGTTTTCTAGTTCTCTGTAAGTAGGCTCTCTCTCTGGCCCTCTTGGAAGTCTAGACAATTACTGCTTTGAGCCCTATGCCCTTCCTTCCTTCCTTGCAAAGAGTTTTGAAAGAATGATGTCAGTCCAAGATGGGCTGGTTCTGTAATGAAGCTGAGAGATGCTTCACTGTTACAGCTTGGGACCAACTGTACATAATATATAGAAAGTATACACAAGGATATTTTGTGCTGTGTACATATACAAAGACCAAATATTTGTCTTATGAGAACCCTGTTGTTGGGAATTATGAAGGCTGTTTAAGCACATATTTAAGTGTGTTTTAAATACCTATTTCAACACTTCTTTCTTTGTAAATCTGATTTTAACATACTTGAAAGTATATGTTAAAGTAGAAAAATAGTCTACTCTATGGCATGATTTTAATGAAATTATTTTTCATGCTTATGTAAGTAAAGTGAATTGAGACTGTTGAACCTTCAGCATAAGGTTTGAGACAGTTTTGTTTTGTTTTGTTTTTCTCTGTACTCTTCTGTTAAGTTCTGCCTGTCTTCATGGATTTGGTAACTGTTTAAAAAGAGTAACTACAGCTTTGTTAGTTGATTAGTCAGAGTGCTTTTTCTAAACTAAAAAAAAAAGGCTTTTTACTAAATCATATTCTTTGAAAAGCTTTCTTTGCAAGACTTAATGCCTTGCAAACCAGTGTTTTAAGACTATTAGATGCTCCCTTATTTTGTTTTTTTTAGAGTATTATATGTGTCTTGTACTCCACTGGTCTTACAGTGGTCCTTGTTTTTTCATATTTAAAATGAGAATATTTGTTGTGATTTCTCAAGTAGCTAATAACCCAATTTAATGAAATGGTCCCAGATGTGTGTTTTATGAGTATATTTTTTGCAGTTTGAGGCTTGACATGGATGTGTGCTTCTGAAGAAGTGAGCTTACAGGCTGGGATTCATGTGAATGTAATTCAGTGGGGTTTTCTGTGAGATGGAAATCTAGCAGCACTGTTATTGTATTTAATTTGAGTTTAAAAGGGCATTATAACACAGGAATTAAAATATGGAACACCCAGTGTCTAGTGCCAAGTCCTAGGAGCACAATATTGTTTTTCTAATGAGATTATTTCAGAAACAAGTTAATGAGAGGAACACTTTGATTAGACATAACTTGAAACCCCTTTGGTTCTCGCTATTTCTTAATCTTAATCCAGACAAAGAAATAGGTACACTAATTTATTGTTCATCTTGTCAGCAGCAAGAAGGGCCATTGAAACAAATAGGGCTAATCACAAGTTAACAGTTTTTACTTCAAATATAAATATGAAGCACTTTAGTGGTAAAGAAGAATATATGTACTCATATATTTATCTTTATATTTATATAAAATGTATTTGTACATGTGCATTTACATACATAAACCTAGTTTGGTAAGCATCTTAATTCAGACTGCTGTAAAAAAGTACCATAAGCTGGGTGGCTTATAAACCTCAGAAATTCATTTCTCACAGCTCTGGAGGCTGGAAGTCAGAGATCAAGGTGCTAACATGGTTGATTTCTGGTGAGGACCCTCTTCTGGGTTGCAGACTGCCGACTTTATGTTGTATCCTCACATGTTAGAAGAAGAGAGCGCTCTCCAGGGTCCCTTTTATAAGGGCACTAATTCCATTCATGAGGCCTCCACCCTTGTGACCTAATCACCCCAAAGGCCCTGCCTCCTTATGCCATCACACTGGGGGGTTAGGGTTTCAACATAGGAATCTGGGGGGAGAGGACAGTAACATTTAGTCCATAATAATAAGGACTCAGTAATATGGTATTTAACTACTAAGGCGTTTGGTAGAAGATAATCCTACATTTTACTGCTCATATTTTCTTACAACAAAAAATTTTTTAAAAACCTCTAATTCATAAAGTGGAATGTTGATTCCAGTAAATGTGACTGTATATAGTTATATGAGATAGAGGAATTTCTGAATGAGTGTGGTGTTTACACTGGGAAGATGTCATGCTTTAATCCCTGACTTATTAAAAGCAACTAAAACAAAAACAAAAACAAAAAACGGAAAAATCAATTACGGATTGTGATGATGCAAAACAGAAGCCATAACAAATTAAAATTATACGAGTAGTTAAGTTACAGAATTATCATAAATCTCCGGAAGAATACAGATGTAGTGGGGCTTTAGCAAAGTATAAATAAAGAGCAAAAGCAAGAAGCTGTTTTTAAATCCTCATTTTAGGCATTCTTTATGGTTTGTTAGAGAATGTTTAGGGAGAACAAAAAAAGCAAGAAAGCAACAGAAAAGTATATTTTCAGATGGCCAAGTAAACCAAATAGACCCTTTGTACTGATGATTAAATACCACTTATATTTTTAAACTGTATGTCTTAATTTGCTACTTTTTCTTGGCATAACAGTAAAATGTGATTTTTTTTTTTTACTTGAAGAGGAGTGACAAAAATAATACAGTTCTTTTAACCTTTCTGAGACTACAGGACTGATAGTTATTTGATAACTATATTCTTTTCCATAAGAAAAGCCCCCCTTACTGAGTATAATTAGCTAAGTTCACTTTTAAATACTCCTTGTTCTGAGTTTCTATCCATGTTAGAAAATATTTCACTCTCAAAGTAAATTGCTTAAATCATTTCCTGCACTGCAATGTAAAAAATAAGCAACTAAACTTGAATGGGCTATAAATTATATGTGGTCTCTAAAAGTGATATTCTGTAATGGTTTTAGAAGTAGTATTAAAGTGTTTATTTTATCTATTTTACTCAGTATTTATAAAGCTGTAAAAATAAGATGTGAAAGCTTATTTTTTTCAAAACTCTTTGAATTGGATATTTTAAAACACTAAGCCTCAAACATTATGCTCCAAAGGATTTTACGAGATCGGACAATTAAGTTTATGAACTCATCCTAGAAAAAGTGCTACATACCTCATTGCTGAATATCACTACGGTCACCTTTGAAGTACTCCCCTTGGGAAGCTATGCACCGACACCAGTGCCTAGTCCACCCTTCAAAGTGATTTTGGAACTCTTTTTCTGGAATGGCCATCAGAGCTGTTGTCGTATTATTACCCTTAATGTCCTGAATGTCATCAAAATGTCTTCTTTTCAATATTTCCTTTATCTTTGGGTAAAGAAAGAAGTCATTTGGGGGCCAGATCAGGTGAGTAGGGAGGGTGATTCCAGTGCAATTATTTGTTTAGTGGCTAAAAACTCCCTCACAGACAGTGCCTTGTGAACTAGTGCATTATCGTGATGGAAGAACCATGAACTGTTGGTGAAAAGTTCAGGTTGTCTAACTTTTTCACACAGCCTTTTCAGCACTTCCAAATAGTAAACTTGTTTAACTGTCCGTCCAGTTGGTACAAATTCATAATGAATAATCTCTCTGATATGGTTGCAACAAGTTTGCGAACTTAATTGGCAAATGTCGTATAAATAGCCAGTAGGGTCATGCTTAGGAAGAACGTGTATTTCATCAGCACAGATGCATCTTCTAAGTTTGGTATGTTTGCACAGCCTTTTACTGTTTATGCATCTACATGTTGCTATGTGCACAGAAGCTGTCCGTCTTAGAGCTGTTCTACAAATACTTAAGATCTCTGTAAACTCTAGTCACTTGGTCAGCCTGTGTTCACGTTAACTTCATTATTGTGTATTGCGAACATAATATTATGGAATCTAAGTTTAAAGATCTTTTGATGGTTATATGGAAAGGATCTTGTTATATGAGGAATCATCTTAAGCTAAATGGAATGAAAACAAGTTTATAGTTACTTTCTGTTCTTGCCTGTTCATGAGATGCTAAGACTAAAACTGAATATTGCAAACAAATGTTCGTATCAAAATCCTGCTTAAATTCTTCTAGGGGAGTTTGTTTTTAAGCTCAACTCTAAGGAAGATAAATCTAGTCTAAAGTAGGATGTACTAGTTCAAGGAGTTCTGGTCAGATGAATTCTTACATGGTCCAGAAGGAAAATGCTGTGGTTAATTCAGGTAGAATTTGGACCATCATATAAAATGTTTGCCCTGGGCAAAAAAAGTAGAATTTGGGGCAACCTTTGTAAACTCCAGTTGGAACCGAATTTTTAACATGCCCTGGACTGGCATTGAAAAAAATCTGACTTGTTTTGTTATAAAATAATTCTGTTTAAGGAAGATTTAGGATTGCTGTTGATGGACTTCTTAAAACCACTGTGGTTTCATATTTTCACTTAGAACTAGAAAAGAAATAAAACATGCTCATCTTAAAAATAATAAACTCAACATATCTACAAAATAAGTACCTAATCATTCATTTTTTGGAGTACCAGAGGCCTTTTTTTTTTTTTTTGGATGAGACACAATGACTGAAGTGTGAAACTTCCTTCTTTTCTGTTACAGGGGCGATTGGGATGGGTGCTAACAGCAAGGAAGTTTTTATTTCATTTGATAAAAACGAACATACACGGAATCGCCACTTTTGTAGTGCTATTGCTACTTGCTGCTGTTTCTCACTTTTATATGCTCTGTCTCTGCCACCTTCTGTTAACTGTGTCTGCTTCTTACCCCAGTCTGGGAAGCAGGGTATTATGAACATATCAACAGTTATTCCAAGCCTCTGAGGGTAGGGACAGACATACCACTGAGGGATTTACTACCAAGAAGTAGGACTTTAAGAAAAATCCTAACCAAAAGGTTAGGATTTTTTGAAGAAAGGTACCAATTTCTAGGGTTATACTACTACTCTGTCCCTTAAATCTAGATATTCTTCAGGATTATCTGATTAACTCTTGTCTACACATTATGTATGTTCTCCGTGCATTTACCCACAGCACAACTGTTAGCTCTCCTGATCACTACGAGCTCTGTACCTCTCATTTTTCTCACAAACTCAACCCAAACTTGCGATTTGCCTCCCACGTTTATGCCTAAGTCACTTTCCTACATCCTGTTTATCATATTATCTCCCCCTGCCCTGCCTGCTCCCCAGCCTGTCTCCCTATACCGCCTACCAAGGTTAATGTGGTCCATGGCACCTCTACCTTCATTGTCCTAAAGGCTGAAAATGCAAGAGTCATCTAACTGTTGCTCTCCTTCCTGTACCAGCTAAATCCTTAGTAACCACGTACTCTATTCCCAGGTACTAAGGTCTCTCCTTTGTTTCTACTGCCTTGATTTTTTTTGTGCCAGGCCCTGGGTTAGGCTTTCTGCACAAAATTTTTTTTTTTTTTTAAATATTTGCAATCATTGTGTAAAGTAGGTTGCATTATCTCTTTTTTCATATTACATTTATGGATTAGGCACAAAGAAGTTAATTAACTTGCTGTTCCAACATCATCAAGGAAACAGTGAATCAGGTTTTTTAATGCTGGGTGACTTTAAAAGTCCAATCCCTTTCTACAAAGTACTCTTTCACCTAACCTATAAGGTTCTACCCTATTTCATATCAACCCACTCACCTTTCTGGGTTTTCTACTTTCTTTCTGGGGTATATTATGCTAGATATATGGAAACATTTCCGGTCCTGTGAGCTGGTCACCTCTAAGCCTCTGCCCTCACTTGGTTCTCATTTTGTCTTTGTCAACCCTTGTCTGCTTGTTGAACTTCTTTGTTCAAGTACCTGCTCAGAGGTAATTTCTTTGTAGCTTTCCTTACTACTGCCACTGCTCCTGCCCCCACTGCTCCTACCACCATCACACCACACACACACACTGAGCATTTGTTGAAGGCTCATTAGTACTAAGCACTGTACCAGGTGTTTGAAAGTTTGAAATAGAGGGAAAGACATCTTGGGGAGGTGAGAATGATTGGAATGAGGCCTGCATTTTTCTGCAGGGTTAGGGAGAAAATGTACCCATTGGAGCAGGTGGTATGAATTGGGATTACGAAAAATTGTAATGACATAGACCTGACTCTCAAAGAATGGTTTTGATATTGGTCTCCTAGCAGAGTGCTTGCCACTTAATTAGGAAGTCAGTAAATATTTACTTAATTAATCACTGAAGAACCAATTAATTTACCTATTAATGAAGTAAGTTTAAATTTAGGATGTTGGGATGTAATGGTTTTTTTCTCTTGTATTGACAAACATTTAAACTTGTAACCATCAAGGTAAAATCCAGAAAACCAAATTATTCATAGTAATCTGCAGAAATTCTTTCCTTGAGAAGACATGTTGTTATCAATATAAGATCAATTTGTCGTTATATATTAGAGTAGATCTGTATATGATAAATGCTTCCTGTTGTAATTTTTTAAAACTTCCTTAAAATTCCCCTAATACTTTGTTTTGTGTGTTAATAAATTACCCTTCAAAAGAGGATCCTTAATATATCTTTATAAAATGTTTGTGCATAGTGGTTTCCCTCCTTATATGTTCGTTTTATTGTATTATCCTTTCCTTTTATTGTAACTCGCCCTTACCCCTTATCCTCCACACCTTTTTTGTTTTTACAGTATCTCTTGCTCCTCCTCCTCCCTCCATCCTACAGGTAACTCCTCAGTTACCTTTAATGGGATTTGTGGCCAGAGTTCAAGAAAATAGTAAGTTTATGTCTTCTTTATGCTGTAGATCAGATTATGGACATAAAATGTCATTTTATATGATTGGCTAAATAGTCATTCCTTCACCGATACTTCAGATATTTGAATATTGTGGACAAGTCACTGTATGAGCAGCTAGTAGGGATGATAAAATAATTAGGATGAAATTCTCTATTTTCAAATAAGTTCAAATCAGGTAGTGAAGAGAAGACAAATATAAAATAATGCACATGTAAGAAAAGAAAGATCACATCTGAGGAGATGCTGTTTGATCACCAGATAGCCCATGTTTTTCTTTGGAATTCTCAAACAAGTGGTAGTCTATTTTCCTACCACTGGAGTTTTTGGGTTTGCGGCTGGCCTGAGAATCTTTCTCTGGTCCTGTGATTCCAGGTATAGAAATGGCCATGCCATGGTAGGTCCTAGGGGACTAAATTGCCAGTCTGTTTCCCAGGAGGCCTCATAGATTGGCAATGAATTCACATTGGCCTGTGGTCTAGTGTTGAGTCATGCAAGCTCAGATAACTAATTTTATTGACATGTCGAGACTTCTAGGGAAGGATTAAGGAAGCTCAGGAGATTGATGTTCATAAAACAGGAGGCCTATATCAACATGCAGTGGGGAATTGTTACAGAGACCAGTAGATGAATTTTCTTGTGAGCAGTCTGCAGAGGAACCACGTCATAATCAAATGTTGCATGATGGGCATTAACTCTGAACAGGGGCATTACGTTAATGAGAGATTTAATGTCATTAGGCTGCAGTAGCCCAATGTATGCATCTCAAAACAGGCATGTCCTCACTAGTGGGATAGAAACATTAATATTTGCACATTGTTGCTTGGGACTCTTGCTCCTTTGAAGATGGGCATTGCCAATACTAGAATGTAAGCTCTGTGAGAGCAGGGATTTTTGCCTGTTTTGTTCATGGGCTGTTTCCCCAGCACTTAGAAAAGTACCTTTCACATAGCAGACACGTTTAGTCCCTCCTTTTTTGTGCTTCCCTAGCTGACTGAATGTCCCCTTTTTATCAATACATTTCTTTCTTGTTTTAACTGGTTATAATCCAGTCTCACTGTACTGAGGGTTCAGTGTCTTTTAGGTGCCTTTGCATCTCTATTTGCTAATTTCTGAAAATAACCTGTGTTACTTCTGTCTATTGGAGGGTATCCCATGGGCACCTCCAATGTTACCACAGTGTGACTGCCTTTTGGGATATCTTTTCTTATTTCTTTTCACAGTCATGTACATGTCTCATCTACAAAATGTATAAAAATAAGAAATGTTGTGTATGAGGTGTGCTGTGACTGATTTTACAGACATAGCAGGACTTATACATTCAAATGAATGTTGTCCTCTGCAAAACATTCACCTTGAAAAGATACATACTTATCTTTTGGGATTATCTTCATAGCTTTCAGATACATTATTTTGAAGACACTCAGTGGTAGCTGATAATCACTTTGTATTAAGTTTGATGTTTGGAAGCAGTCAAAATATTTGGAGCCAGTTATACTGTGCTAAACAGTGTGTATGATCCTGTTCTTCTTAAATCCCTTCTATGGCTTCCCATTGCTCTTTGGATAGAGTTCAAGCTGCTGCAGGGCCCTTCCTGCTGAGTCCTCTTCAGCTTCCTCATGCCTCTTTCTGCTGAACTTGGATCAGTTCTTTGAAGGGTTCCTGCTTTCTTACCTTTGTATTTGTTTTTTTCTTTACTTCTGCCATGAAATATCAACCCCCACTCCATCCCATCCCCTGGCCATTAACTGTTACTCATCCTTCAGGTGTCAGGAAGCCTTTCCTGACCATGTAAGAGGTTTGGTCAACTGCTGTTTTTTCCATAATGACACAAAGCACTTACTGCACTTAATTATCAACGAAACTTGCTTGTGCATGTTTTGCCCACTACTCTCGTCCCAGTGCTGAGCATATTACCTAGCCATAGTAGGCTTTCATTTGGTGTTTGCTGAGTGAATAATAATGAGACATTACTATAAAGTTATTGAATTTCTCTCATCCTATAGTATTGTAAGCTTTTACGATAACAAACATTGGAGTCCAAATTCCTGCTCATCCACTTACTTACTGTAGGACTACTTAATTTTGGAAAGCCAGTTTCTGTATCCATAAAATGAGGATTAAAAACACCACCTCCCAAGGTAAAGATTAAATGAAATTACTGTAAAGTGCTAGCTGAATAATTGGAACATTTTAAGTAAAAACTGATAGCTTATATTATTCTTAATAAACTAACTTTTCTTATAACTGGCTCTGAGGCATTTATAAGGTAAAAATGAGCAATGGCAGCATCTTTGAGTAATTTTGTAGCGTAGTTTCTCAAGGTGATTGTTTTGAAAGACAGAGTTCCTTTGGATGTATGTTTTTGTGGAATTGTTTAAAGTCAATCTCTTTACCTTATAAATGTAAATAGGATATATTGTTGATTCTTACCCCAACCATATGTAATTTGTCATAAAGTTTGTTAGAACCATGTATGTTTGTTTATTTTAAAAACCATTAGGAGTAAAATAATTATTTTTAATGAGAAAAGTTTTGAAGTTCATAAAGTAGATAAGTTGATAAAAGTATAGAGGGGCACAGTAGATGAGAAGAACACTGGAACAGCAGAGATGTTGGTCTGGATAATCCTCCCCAAGCATCAGTAATCTTCTGAAATCCATTTGATTCAATCAGTAGGCTTAGATAAAAAATAGAAAATAAACAGGATTGCTCAGAGAATTTCACAGAAACAATACTAGTACCTTAGAAAAGAATTTGTGCTGTTCATTAAAATTGGGCAACTGATAAATATAGCTTTCTTTATTCAGTTTATTTTGTTGAGTTGTGCTCAAACGTGAGCCAAGCGGTTTGAAAGCTTTGAGTTGCTGTGTTTGGAGGTATTTTAGACAGTACTATATGTTGATACCTGAATTGTGGAAGCAGATCTCAATAAGGGGACATTTAAAAAATTTTAAATCACTTTTGGATATTTAGCCTCAAGATATTCTGCATCACAGATTAGTCTGGAATAGTTGAAATTCTGTATGTAAAAAACCCAACCCAAAACAAACCCAATTATTTTCATGGATAAAGTCACCCAAAATTGTTTGTGATTTCTGCCCTGCTAAGTTGACAAGAAGCTACATTAAAAAATTCATTGATTGGGGGCTGGCCGAATGGCTCAGTTGGTTAAGAGCTCGCTCAAGAGTGTGAGCTCTGAGCAACAGCGGTTCGAGTCCAATCCGAGCTGAGCAGCCGCTGAGCTGCCAACAGGTAGCAGGATGGCTCAGCTAAAAAAAAATAAAAATAAAAAAATAAATAAATAAAATAAAATTCATTGAGGAGGGAAAAAAATTCACTGAGAGAAACAAATTATTAAAATTTGACTACTCACTGGACTCAATTTAATTTGTTATAAATTAAATATGGTTATAAATATCCAAATTATTAATATTTGTGATAACCACTCTTTGTTGGATATCATGTAAACCTTGCTTTGAAATGGCAGATTATGTATTAGCATAAACAGGTTCCAGAGGCTCAGTTAATAATAATTATTTCAGCTAACTTTATTTACCATCCATAAGCACTAACCCATGGGGAAGAGAGCAAGGCATGCTTGGATTCTTGGAACATCATATATAGTTGATGGGGAACTTCTCCTGCCCACCCATTTTTTTGAAAGATTATTTTCAAGTCTAGGTTTATATTCCATGAACACAGAAGCTTATATAGGAAATACTAACTTTGCATAATATGTAATTTTGTTATCAGCTCAATACATTCTTAGTTTCAGATACACCACCACCACCACCACCTGTGGAGGAACCAGTCTTTGATGAATCTCCGCCTCCGCCTCCTCCCCCAGAAGATTATGAAGAGGAGGAAGCAGCTGTGGTTGAGTATAGTGATCCTTATGCTGAGGAGGACCCTCCGTGGGCTCCGAGGTCTTATTTGGAAAAGGGTGAGTTTCAGAAGGATATCTGGGGGGATGGGAAGAAACCTCTACATAGAAATGAAATTTACTGGTACTGAAGGGAAGCTTGTTTTGTGTTTTTACTGATAAGGAACCTTTTGCTTATGTTACCTGTATGTTCTTATTCATTTAGTTTATAAGTTCCATGGTTTTGAAAGTCATGCTAGTAAAATTCTGTGACTATTTGGTTTTTTTTATTGATGGTTATGTATTCCTGGTGAACATGCTTTTTATGGATGGTTTCTATAACACAAAAATAAAAAGAGAGTTTTTTTGGAATGCCTCAGGAAGAGGATGATTTTTCCAAATTATTAGTTATTGCTTCCTCCATGGTTTATAAAGCATTCTTTTGTGGCATCTAATACCAGATATTTCCATTTAAGTGGCTCCGTATGAAATTTTCTTCCAAAGAGCAATGGTTTCTTAGTTTCTTTACATAGTAGGATTGGGCATTTCTTTTAGAAAAAAGTTTCTCTAAATATATTAGCTAACCATGACATGGCACTTTTGGGACACAAGCTTTCAAATCTCATCAAGACTACTGAACTCAGAAAAATAATTTGCTGTCTTGAAGGAAATATTCTGTTAAGGAAACTGAAGCTACTAACTCACTGGGTCTCAGAACTGACCCCATATTAGAATTACCTGAGAAACTTATATTAAGAAATGGTGGACTTTCATTTGTGGCCAAGATAGAGCAACAGTAATCAGATTTACCCTCTTTCCTAAAGCAGTTAGGAATCCAGAAAAAAATATAAAAAAATAATGGTTTTCAGGCATTGGACAACAGGCAGTGATGGACTCTGATCCCAGAAAAAGGTAACTCAAACAAGATGAGCCTTTGATTGTCCTGGCTTGTTACCTAGAGGCAGTTTCCAAGCCCAGGAGTGTGAAGTAGAGCCCAAACAGAGCCTGGGGGTCACATTGCATAAAGAAGATAGAGATCAGACTTTAGGAGGCCACAGAGAAGAGGCAGCTATACTGAAACAGAGGATAGAGCTCTGCAAAGCTACACAATCCTCTTGAGTCTCTTGAGTACTGACCTGTACTTGTGTGAAGAAACTATCTGAGACTGGAGAAAGAACAACCAGAAAGGAGTAGGCAGAAAAATGATTGGAAATAACACAGGCCTGGGAATAGTTCATGTTCCCAAACCAGCCAAAGTAGAAAGACCTTGTAATACACAAGGCACTGAGAAGAGGCCTCAAAAGTGTGTCCCATTGGGCCATATTAGTCCTAAAGTTTGCTCTGGACTGACCTAAACAAACTTAAATGCAAAATTTGAAAGCATCCAACTGATTTCAAGTAACTTAACTGAGCTTCAGGACAAAATTCAACACTATTCAAAGGAGTCAACAAAATACACTGCACCAAATGAAGAAGTTAAATAGTTGCTTTTTGCAGATGACATGATTTTTTATATAGAAAACCCTAAAGATTCCACCAAAAAACTATTAGAAACAATAAACGAATACAGTAAATTTTCAGAATACAAAATCAATGTACAAAAATTCATTGCATTCCTATATACTAAGAATGAAATTTTAGAAAAAGAAAATTTCTTTTGTAATTGCAACCAAAAGAATAAAATAACCTAGGAATAAACTTCACAAAGGATGTGAAGGACCTATATACTGAAAACTATAAGACTTTATTAAAAGAAATTAAAGACAAAGAAATGGAAAGATATTCCATGTTCATGGATTGGAAGAATCACCATAATTAAAATGGCTATATTACCCAAAGTAATATACAAATTTAATGCAATCCCCATCAAAATCCCAGTGGCATTTTTTTCAAGAAATAGAACAAAAAAACCATCAGATTTGTATGGAACCACAAAAGACCCTGAATTGCCAAAGCAACCTTAAGAAAAAAGAACAAGGCTGGAGGTATCACACTCCATGACTTCAATTTGTACTACAAACTGATAATAATCAACAGGATGGTACTGGCAGAAAAACAGACACACGGACCAATGGAATAGAATTGAAAACCCAGAAATAAACCCACATATATATGGGCAAATAATTTTTGACAAAGGAACCAAAAACATTCATTGGAGAAAAGAAAGTTCTTCAATAAATGATGCTGGGGAAATTGGAAAGCCATGTGCAAAAGAATGAAACTAGACTGCTATCTGTCACCACCAAAATTAACTCAAAATGGATCAAAGACGTAAACATAAGACCTGAAACAGTAAAATGCATAGAAGAAAGTATAGGTACTAAAATTATGGACCTTGGGTTCAGAAAGGTTTTTGTGAATTTGACCTCAAAGGCAAGGGAAGTTAAAAGCAAAAATAAATGAATGGGACTATATTAAACTAAAAAGCTTCTGCACAGCAAGAGAAACCATCTACAAAACAGAGAGGCAACCAGCTGAGTGGGAGATGATATTTGCGAACAACACCTCCTGTAAGGGGCTAATATCGAAAATATATAAAGAGCTCGTATAACTCAGCTATAAAAAAAAAGCAAACAGTAAATAAATGGACAAAGGACCTGAATAGCCACTTCTCCCAAGAAGACATACAAATGGTCAATAGATATATGAAAACATGCTCAACTTCACTAGCTATTAGGGAAATGCAAATCAAAACCACAATGAGATACCATTTCACACTTGTTAGAATGGTTATTATCAATAAGTAGTAAGTAAGTGTTGGAGAGGCTGTGGAGAAAAAGGGACCCTCATACACTGCTGGTAGGGATGGAAATTGGTACAGCCACTATGGAAAACATTATGGAGGTTCCTTAAAAAATTAAGAATAGAATTACCATATGACCCAGCAATCCCTCCTCTGAGTATTTACCCCAAAATCTGAAAACACTTATCTGTAAAGATATATGTACCCCTGTCTTCATTGCAGCATTATTTACGGTGGCCAAGACGACACAACCAAAGTGTCCTTTGATAGATGATTGGATAAAGAAGATATAGTACATATATACAATGGAATATTACTCAGCCGTAAGAAAAGATGAAATACTAAAAAAAAAAAAAGATGAAATACTGCTATTTGTGACAACATGAATAAATCCTGAGATTATCATGCTAAGTAAAATACATCTGACAGAAAAAGTTGAGAACCATATGACTTCACTCATATGTGGCATATAAAACTAAAGCAACAAATGAATAAGACACAAACAAAAAATCATGGACACACAACAGTTTAGTGGTTACCAGAGGGTAAGCGGGGAGAGCGAGTGGTAGAAGGAGGTAAAGGGGGTCAAATATATGAAGACAGAAGGAAAACTGACCCTGGGTGGTGAGCACATGATGCAGTATGTAGATGATGTATTACAGAAGTGTTCCCTTGAAACCTATATAATTTTACTAACCAATGTCACACCAATAAATAAAGATGAAAAAATCTAGTGCACCAAAAAGTAAGAATCATAGTGCCCAGCATCTAATCACAAGGTGTGTAAAATTACAAGGCATATAAAACGAAAAAATATAACTCATAACTAAAAAAAATTCAGTCAATAGAAACAGACCCAGATGGTGGAATTACCAATACAGGGGCATTATATAGCTATTATAAATGCCACATAATGTTCAAGAAGGTAAAGGAAAACATGAACACGAGAGAAGTGGAATATATATTTTTTTAAAAAGAGAGAAACCCACATAGAATTTCTGGAGGTGAAAAACGCAGTATCTGAACTGACACTTCAGAAGAAAAGATTAGCAGCCTTGATAAGACAATATGCAAAACAAGGCATGGAGAAAAAAAGAAAAACTAAAAACAGAGCAAGAGATGTGGGATAATATCAAATAGTCTTTCTTTTTTTTTTTTAAAGATTTTTATTGGGGGTTGGGATGGGAACAGTGCTGGGGAATTGGGGGAAGGGGAACAGACAAGTTCCTGTCCTTTTGTTCTTCAGTCTAGTTGTGGAGGACGTTGCTTCACTGGCCCAAGTTGGCACCATCATTGCGCTCTTCCCGGGCGAGGCAGATCAGTTGCTGGCTTCTGGATGGCTGCTCACAGCCGCTGCTGGCTACACATGGTAGCCCATGGCAACCTACTGCAGCAAGGGCTGCAGCCTACACAGGCAGCCCAGCTCCAGGTTGAGCTGTTGTTCAGCATCTTAGCTGTAGAGGGCAGTGTCACTGGCCCTCATATGTGGGATCCGAACTGGGGCCCTCTGGCAGCCCAAGCCAGCTCTTAACCATCGCACCACTCGGCCGGCCCTCAAATAGTCTTTATTTGCAGAAGATATGATCTCTATGTAGAAAATCATAAAGAATCTACAAAAAAATTAATAGAACTAAAAAGTGAACTTGGCAAGATTGCAGGCTTGCAAGGTCAATGTAGAAAATTGCATTTTTATATACTAGCAACAAACAAAGATGGAAATTTATAAAACAATAGCTTTTATAATATAAAAATATAAAATACTTAGGGAGGATAAATTTAATGAAATATATGCAAGACCTGTTGATGAAACCTATAAACCATTAAGAGAAATTAAAAGCCTTAAATAGAGAAATATATTATGTTCTTTAATCATTATTGTTAAGAGACCGGTTTTCCCCCAAATTGATCTACAAATTGAATGCAATCCCCCCCAAAATTCCAGAAGTCAGTCTTACAGAAATTGACAAGGGGATTCTAAAAGTTATATGGAAATGCAAAAAAACCTAGTGGAGTCAAAACAATTTTGAAAAGAAGGTTAATGTTAAAGGATTTAAAGTACCTGACTTCAGAGTTCTAGTGTAAAGCTATAGTCTTCAAGACAGTGTAGTGCTGGTGTAAGTATAGGGATATAAATCGGGGAATAGAATATATAATAGAATACAGAAATAAGATCCACACGTATTGTTTGACAAAGGTGCCAAGGTAATTCGGTGAGGAAAGGATAGTGTTCTCAACAGATAGTGCTGGAACAATTGGATATCTATCTATATGCAACACATCAACTTCTACCCTTAACTCACCATACACATAAATTAATTTGAAATGTATTTTTAGATGTGACTGTAAAACTTAAACTACAAAATATCTGGAGGAAAATACAGGAGACAAATCTTGGTGTTCTGGGTTTAGGAAAAAAAATCTTGTAGAGAGCACATGAAAAACATGAAGCTTAAAAGAAAAAAATTGATAAACTGAGTTTCATTAAACTTCTTCAAAGACACTGTTAATAAAATGACAAGGCAAGCCGTATAAACTGGGAAAAAATATTTGCAAAGTAACTCAAGAGACAACTAATTTGTAGGAAAAAAAGATTTGAACACACTTTACCAAATAGATACATGAATTGCAAATAAACACATGAAAAGATGCTCACTATTATTAGTCATTAAGGAAATGCACACTAAAGCCACAGAAAACCAAACGAAATACCACTACACATCTTCCAGAATGGCTGCAATTAACAACACTGATAATCTCAAGTTTGGAGAAAGTGTGGTAAAACGGGCTTTTATACTTTGCTGGTAAGAAGGCATCATGTTTCAGCCACTTTGGAAAACAGCTGGCAGAGTATGAAGTTAGATACACGCCTACCAGCTAACCTGGCAGTTCCTTCCTGTGGTGTTTACTTAAGAACAATAAGGATGTGTCTTCACACAAAGACTTGAATGTTCATAGCTGTTTCTTTCAAATAGCCAAAACCTGGAAACAAACCAAATGTTTTTCAGCTGGTGAGTAGATAAAACTAATTGTGGGATATGCATCCATTCAATGAAATACTTGTTCAGCAGTGAAAAGGAACAAACTACTTCTATAAGCAGCAATATGGATGGATTGTAAGCGGTACACTAATGAAGGAACCAGACACACAAGACCCAGACTTTATGTCTCTATTTAAATGAATTCTACAAGATCAGTGGTTTTCAGGGACCAGTACTGGTGGCTGAGGGAACTTACATAGGGACATAAGGAAATTTTGGGGTGATGGGTATGTTGTATGTGATGATTGTGGTGGTCGTTCTACATTGGTCATGTATTACGGGCGCATACATTTGTCAGAATTCATTGAACTTAAATGCTTGTGTTTTGTATCTAAATTACACCTCAATAAAGCTGTTTTTAAGGAGGACAAAATTCAGCCCAAGGCACTGCACTAAGATGTGGCCTTGTGCACTGACATGTTTTTACACACTCCCCAGCTGATTTTAACACTGTCCGAGACAAAGTGATGACAGCTTTCAGCTCTGAAAAACCAGCTCAGTTATTCCTTATGAGAAAAGCAAAATGAGAAGTTTTGCTTTAGAAAAATTGGCTTTTCAGTGGACATGTTGTAAAAATCTGGAGAGATTTGTTAAGAGAAGAAAGTAAGTTTGTTTTCAGCCCAGGTAACTCTTTAAAGTTTAAGAGAATATGCCTGAATTGTTCCCTAAGATGTTTTTCAAGGTTTGATTTCTCTCTGTTAAGCTCAGGTCTTTCAGAACATGAAAACCAAATAAGGTCTTCCTTACTTTTTCTGGTAAAACAAAAATAACCAAGTGTTCAGCTCAAGATTGCTTTTTTGTTTGAGTGTGTATGAATGTTAAGGCTGCTGCCTACTGACTCATTTTGCTGTCTTAGACCTTAAGACCTGGTCCTTAGCCCTGCCTACATGTTAGTCACCTAGGGAGTGTTTAATATGGCTGCACCTCCAGGCCTGTTAAATCAGAGTCTGGGAACGTCATGGGCCCACATCAGAATTTTTATAAAGTTCCTCAGATAATTCCAAGGTTGAGAACCACTGCCATAGAAGAAGGTTTATCTTAACCCTTGATTACCGCCCATACCAGCCAAGAGGAGATAATGTATATATGTAAGTATCTTGATTTAACCAGGGTAGAGAACAGATATTTTCATGTATTTATGTGCCTGGCATAATGCAAGACTTATTATATAAGACAATTAGTCTCCCCATTTGCAAACTAAGAAATGAGGTTCAAAAATAATTTATAATGTTAACAGAATGTAACAAAATGTTAGTGTTATGGAAAAGATATAATAGTTATTAATGATAATAAAAGACGCTAACATTTGTGTAGAATGTTTACCATATACAATGTGCTGGACTGTGTTTTGTATGTGCATTGCCTCTTTTACTATAACAGTGCTTTGAGGTGTTAGCCCTATTGTAGTTCCCATTACAGTTGAGTAAAAAGCGGCTTAGGAAAGTTAAGTATGTTCTAGAAACTAGTAGGTGGTAGAGCTGGGATTTGACCTAGCTGGTATAACTCCAAAGCCCACTCTTAACTCCTAAGCTTGAGCTCTGGCAGACCTGGGATTGAGTCTTGGCTGTACAGTTCACTAACATTAAATTCTTCCTGGCCAGCTTCAACTTATTAGTCAGTGCCCATTTTCTATTCCTTCCATCAAGCCAACTGTTCTTGTGTTCTCCAGCTCAGTGACATAACTTCTTGGTAGAAGTATGCACAGCGTATGGTAATTTATCAGATAACATTTGTGTCCTCACAAGACATTGACAGCCTCTTGTCTTGTTCATCTTTGTATCTCTCAAAATCAGCCCCATTTGTGATTGTCAAAAAAATGAATAGTACTATTAATTCTATCTGGGAATTCCAGAATGCTTCTCAGAGGACATGGCATTTGTGATGTGTCTTGAATAATAAGTAGGAGTTTCTTAGGCAGAGGAGAGAGGTAGGCAGGGCCATCCAGGCAGAGTTCTCTGAGGGAAAGGGCATGGTTGTTGGGGGCATGGTAAGTAGTGCCATGTTTGGGGCGGGTTGTAGGGAGACAGTGGCTGGGGTATGAGTGCAGGAAGGGAAGGGAGTTGTAATTAGGAATGGAAGGTCTGTTTGGGTTTCTTTTTTAAAAATCTGATGACAGAGGAAAAATTGTGGCAATTTTTAAGCGGGTTGATAAGTTCCCATGTACTTATAACTTTTTTTTTTTTAAGTTACCTGATAATGGTGTAGAGTACGTTAGAAAGGAAAATAGGAGTTGGGACGACCAGGCTTGGATACCTTTTTAAGGAAGAGATGAAGGCCTTAACTAAAGCAATGATGCTAAAAACCTTCTTCACATTAATAAGTAGATGCAAATGGAAGTATTTTTCATGGCCTGTCACTCAATTGTTTTAACTCCTTCAGAATTACTTTCCAAAAGTCAAATGATGTTCTGTCTTTAAAAATGTTTTATGATGTCAGTTGATAATGCCATTGAAGTATTTTTGTTGAAAAGCAAAGGAATGGAGCCATCTAACTTGCAAAAAGATTGGGTTACTCAAGTAATTCTCTTTCTTAATACCACACCAGTATTGTGAATTGTTTATTTGGCACCCAGAGGTGTTTTGTATTTTAAGACAGTGCGCCACTATACTTTTGTTCAGTAGGAGAATGATAAAGAGGAATTGAGAACTTTTATGACTGATGCCTGACTGAAGGTAGCTCAAGCAGATCAGCTTTGGGAATAGTATTTATAAAAGCTGAGACTCTAGAAGTCTCCCCAAAATCATGTCACTCATGCTGCTAAGAAAATCCTCGGGTACCCCCAGCATTGTGTATGTTGCAGTTGAAAGACTGCCGCACTGTCCAGGGCACTGATGGTGATGATGGAGAAGTGTTGGATGGGGGAGATTTAGGAGGTAGGATTGACGGGACTCGGGGATATTCTTTTCTGAGTTTTCAATGGGTTTGCATCTCTGTGAGCACCAAGAATGTTATCAACTTAAAACAAAACAAAACAAAAAAATATTGGGTTGACTAGAAATAATACATATCTTATTTTCTCTTATTTATAGTTAAACTTGTATGTCATTTAATTATATATTTAATTGTTTAGTGCTTTGGTTATATTTTGAGAAATAAACACTATAAACTCTTCCTAGGCCCCTCTAAAGTATTTTCTGACATCCTTAATAGATCCCTATTATGGCAAATATTCAGAGTTTAAGAAAACCATTTAATTTTACTAAAGCAAGCCAGAAACACAAATTAACTGGGGCAAGTTGCAGTGTTTCAGAAATTCCTGTTGCAGTTTTTTGCTTCTTTATGTGATGATTAAGGTTGCATGAGAAACTAAGTCAGTATATACTTCTCAGAGTGATGGATAGATGGAGACGTTATTGAGTGAATTCTGAGTGATACAAAAAAGGTAGAGGATCTTTTAATGAAAAGGAGAAACCTTCAAGTGGATTGGAGCAAGTTTTAGTGTATCCAGTTTAATGGAACTGTTGAGGTAGATGTTATACTTAGGAACCAAAGCTTGTCCCAGATATCACTGTAAGGCCCCAGTTTCCAAGTTATTAATATTTAACCAATGAAAATCACAGGAGCGCTTACAGGCATCTTGGTTCTCATCAATCTGTTACTGTGAGTATGTTAAATCTGTGGCATAATGCAACCTGTGTTTTGAAAGAATATGCATAGGGATCCCAATCATCCACATATTACAACCTGTGGGGATTCAACCACTGTCCTACTCAGTGGATAGATATGGGCTCCAGAAAGTGAGAGGCAGGAGACATAACTCTGCTATTTCTTTAGTATCTCGTTTTCTCACTTACCCCTCAGAGTGTATCTTAAGCACTAGTATAATTCTAATGTTTAAAGACAGGTGTTTTTAACACAATACGGTGCTTCAACAATATAAGCTCAACTGAAGAAATAGTCATCTTTCCCAATATGGGATTGTGTGTCTCTCTTCTATGAGGTATTTTCCCATAGGCTGTTGAAGGGTAATTTGACTATGATTTTTTTGCCATTTATATTGTTTTGAACATAATCTCAAGAAGATAGGATTCCATTGTATAGGACTGGATATTTGAAAAAAAGTTTGGGTGTGTGTGTGTGTGTTTAGAAAGTTACTGTATTTGAAGTACTGCAGAAATTGGGAAAGGATAGATATTTGGTTCTGTCTTTCTAAGAATGTTATTCTCTTTCACATCCTGTTTTTTCCCTGCAGTTGTGGCAATTTATGATTATACAAAAGACAAGGAAGATGAGCTGTCCTTTCAGGAAGGAGCCATTATTTATGTCATCAAGAAGAATGACGATGGTTGGTATGAGGGAGTTATGAATGGAGTGACTGGGCTCTTTCCCGGGAATTACGTGGAGTCGATCATGCATTACTCTGAGTAAAGCTCGGCATGGCTGTTTCCCTCGCAGGAATAGTCAGGTCTTCCCAGATTATCAAAAGGCCCTGGGATTCCCCTCCAGTGAAATGAATGAAGGATACAAATGATAAAAACTACTTACTGTTTTTTTTCTTTTTTTCGGTTTATCCCCCAGTATTAAAACAAACAAAAAAAGCAAGCTGAGTGTGAACAATTGGATCTTTCCGTCATCATTTGTACTATGCTGAGCTATCTGGATTGAAATAAAGTGACCATTTCTGAACATGTCACAGGTATAACAGCGTAACTATGTAAAACAAATCAGGTTAAGACTGATTCAGAACAAAATCTGGGATCTTTCTCAGGAATACTGTACACCCGTGGGATTTCTCCTCCTGCAGAGTCTGTGGCATTGGATGTTCTTCAGGGCCTGTGCTAGGGGTTAGCCCTGTGGCGACCGCATACCCGGCTGCACAGCCTGCTTTCTTCCACTTGTGTTAGGAGGGGGGGACCCATGTTTAAATACCATACTTAACCATTTTTATAGTTTCAGATGGCTCATTTCCTCTTTAACACTGTAAATCCTTCATTCTCTCAGCACCAGAGTTCATGCTGAATTGACTTGCACCCCTTCATGTTTCTGTTTGTAGATGATGAGGGTGATGAAATGAGTCTCCAAACATCCTGAGGGTGTTTGACAATTGCCCGTGTGATTGTAATGTGCTGCTGCTGTGTGAGGCTGCGTTGCCACTAGTGGCCAGTGCGCCACAGGTGTGAGGTGCTGTAGCCCGTCTCACATGCTGACGTGGGCGCATGGAGCTAGACGTGAGGGTTCCCTAAGTTTTTGGAGATTGAACTGTGGAAACGCTCTGCTCAGTAGGCATCCTAAATCCGTGCCTTAGGCGCTATTTGGAGGAGGAGGATCTTGGAAGTCAGACCAACTATTTCTTTGCTTCTTTCACAATTTAGAAAAACTTTTTTTTTTTTTTAAAATAGCAGTTATTTTCAAATTTCTTGATAGTCGCTGGGAATAAAACGCTTGCTACTACTGTGCTCTCAGAATGTTACTAATGGCCAGTGTTAGCTGCTGCTGAGTTGTGTATTCGCTTACCTCTACAAAATGTAGTCTCCTGATTTTGTGGTTGGCTTTTGAAGTTACTGCCTTGCTAAGAATTTGAACCTTATATCTCAGATTGAGAATAGTGGGAGGGCCAATTACATAGATAAAAACTGATACAACGTTGAGAAAAACAAAGTATTGATTTATCTGCCTAATTATACCTTCAAATTCAGTGGTTTGTAAGGCTTTTAATCATCACTTCTGTAATCAGTATTAATAATTTTATTAATCCAGGAGGGCTTGCTGCTTAGCGTGTGGATATTGCGGTGATAGAATAGCTCACGGTCAGGCCCAAAGCTGTCGTGGGTTCTTCCCAGTCCCAGTGACTTGGCCAGAAGAGAGCTTTGCCAGGTAACTTCCCTGTGTTGGGCCAAAAGGGAGAAGCAATAGCTGCCTATACAATTGACCCTTGGACTGCACAGGTTTGAACTGCATAGGTCTACTTATACGTGGATTGTTTTTCAATACATGTACAGTTGGCCCTCCATATCCCCACGGTTTGCATTTATAGATTCAACCAAATACTATTTTGATCCATAGTTGGGAATCCACAGACGTGGAAGACCAACTGTTTACATTGTTTTATACCATTTCATATAAGGGACGTGAGTGCCTGAGGATTTTGGTATCCATGGGGGGTCCCTCACAGATACTGAGGGCTTACTATAAAGTTTTGGGGAATCAACAGTTATAGGTGGATTTTCAATTGCATGGGAGTCAGTGCCCCTAATCCCTATTGTTCAAGGGTCAACTGTATTTCACATGTAGGCCTTGAACATGAGATAGTGCAGATAGAGGAATTTGATTGAAAAAGGAACATGCGTGTTAGTGTGTGAGGGAATTCAGATGGTGTAGGCAGAAGTTAACATTCCATATGTGAACCTGTTACCTGAGCACAAAACTTCATCACCATTTAACTGAAACCCAGATATAGAGTTCCCTTATCTTTATTTTTGTTTTAACGTTGCAGGGTTTCCGCCCACATATTGCAAATCAGCTATTTTGCTTTTAGCTCTCGCCAACACTTTGAATTTAGCTTCCATTCACTTGCCTCCAGTCTACATTCCACTTCATGCTTCTGTTAGGTCAGCTCGACATCGTTGATTCTGGTTTCCTTCAAAGTAAAGAGCCTGGCTGACCTCTGAGCCTTCAGCTTCATTATGACCCAACCTAGACTATACTTGTGTAAGTTCAACTCTTCTTAGTGTTGGTTTGTAACTAGGAAATCTTTGGAGATTAGATGTTCCAGTTACTTATTTCAATAGCTTTTTGTTGAGAAAGCCTAGTGGATTTAATAAGGCATAGGGTATTTTGAAGTCCAACAAACAGTTTCCACAGCTCACACCTACAGAAGCAGAGAACTGTGCAACAAGAGGTGGTGGTCGGCTTGCTTGGTGGACCCCTGCTAGAAGGGGGGTGCAGAAGACACTGGTGAAGGCCTGCAGCAGGGGTCCATGGGTCCACTGATGTTTTCTGTATCATTTAGAACTAATGTGAATGTGACTTCTTTTTAAAAACAATACCTGTTGGATTTTCTGCATATTTTAACTTTTTGTAGTTTTGAATTCTATATATTGTTGGAAAGATACTATGTAATAATGATGGGCCAGGCCTACAGTAATTGGAGACTTTTAATGTATGTAATATTTCATAGATTGTATGCTATTAATAGTCTGAGGGTAGTATTTCTTGTTTTATCATAACTTCCCCCCATTTTTCTTTTTGTCAACTATGAGACAAGACAGTTGGCAGTAGGAATTCCAGATGAATGTAGAAATCTTACATGCTACATAAAATGTGGCAAGGATGATCCAAGTCCAAAATGTGCTGACCAGTGAGCAACTGTGTTATCAAAATAGAGAGAACCTCATGGGAGGGGATGTTTCCCTCCTGAAATGTTTCTTTTTGACTTGGTATTAGCTCCCCTTTTTCTTTCTTTCTTTTTTTTTTTTAAGTGAAGAGTTGTTCCTTTTTTAGAAACATTTTTTTGGTATTGTTTGAAAGGCCATGGGAATATGGATGAAAATACACTTGTTGTTGACCTTATGGCTAAGGCAATAAATCTGAAACAAAAATAGTGTTAATGTGTCAAAATCGAGACCTGAGAGATTCAGTCTGCTGTGTTTGAAAAAAATATGAATCTTGTAAGATGTCTTCTCAGTATTTCCCATCTTTTGGCCACTTGCTGTCTCCCTCAGGGGCACCTCAGGGCTGGCAAGGGCCTGTGTTTCGCTGGTTCCCGAGTCACCAGTGAGACATCTGACCCTCCCCTCCCTTCCCCCCTCACTTCTGCTTATTACCCAGCTAGAGACTGTTTTGTGCATCTTTACAGTGATGTTGGTAACGGAGTTGTGCTCCTTAGCAGTCTATGTTAAGATGATTACTTAAGATTTTTCTGTTTGAGAGGCATCAAAATGATGGTAGTTTGCTGTTTATTTTATCCTTTTGTGTTCATTTTCTTTTAGCAGGTGACCTTTCTTCATTAGGAACTGTTCTTTTCAAAGAGCCACCTTGCTCTTTGAAAAGGAGTTGATGGAGGAATTGGCAGGTGACTGCCAAGTATTTGAAAAGAATGTGCATCTGAATCACTTCAGAACTTCTTTGGCCAGGAACTCCTGATTGGTGTTAAGGTGATCATTTCCCTCACATGCTTTTACTTAGAATCATAGGATTGTAGAGCTAGAGTTTATTTAGTCTCATTTTACTGATGAGGTTAGATGTTTCATTCAGTTCAGGTAACAGCTAGTTAGTAACAGTAAAGTTCCTGACTCAGTGCTGCTCCGGTATTCTCTACAACTGTCTTAATTGAATGTGCTGTATGTTTCTTTAAAAATTAGGAGTTCTGCTTGATGTCTGCTTTCAAGTACCTCAGGAAGATACTTGAAAAGATGTGCTATGTTTCTATAAACATCATCAAGTATTCAAACTTGTTTAAATGCGTGTACTAAGTACAACCCTAATTAGCGAAAAAGCTTCATTTTAATCCTTCTAAAACTATGCTTAATACAAATGGTCTTTTCCATTAGGTGTATGCAGCAAAAATGTTTCAGCACTGGCAGGAGCACAGCTAACAGCCTTATTTGAGAGAGCCTTATAAAACAGTTCTTTATTTTCAACAGAGGCACTGAGCTCATTACCTTAAGTTTACTGTATGCTCATCTTCAGTCCCATTTCTTATTGAAAATCACATAATTCTTTAAAAAAAAAAAAGACAAATGAAATGACAGGGCCTAGCTGTGTGTATAATTGATCCTTGCTAAATATCTTGAGATTTTTTTGTAAAAAAAAAAAAACCCCCAAAACAAAAAGCTTATCTTCACATTAAAATGGAACCATCTTTTGCAACTTCAGAATTCTATGAAAAGCGGTTTTTTCATATTTTGTGTCCATGCATCTTTTTTCTTAACAACAAAGTGGTTTACAAAAAAGAACGTAAACAATTTGTGACCTGGCCAGTTGTACTTTTAGCTCCCGGAGGGCAAGGATTGGTGTTGCGTTTAGGAAAAACCATGCAGGAAAACCTGAGGGAGCTGTTGCCAGTGATGTTTCTTGTGTGTGCCATTAACCACCTCCATGAGAGGAGGGAGCATTCACTTTTTAATTTTGAAATTGTATTTGGAATTGTTGCTGTGTACTAAGAACTTGACCTAAATAAAACCCACAAAGTATATCTAAGTGTCTTGTGAATATATTTATGCAAGTAACCTCTTTTCTTTCTAAGGCTACCGGTATGTAAGTTTGTGTTGGAGGATCCTTCTCTGTTGCTCTAAACACAGGGCACTCCTTTGTAGCAAGTCTTAAAAACTTCAAATATTTAAAATATTGAGGCTTGAAACAAGTTGCCTCTCAAGTTTTTTTTTTTCAAGACAGCTGTTACAACTTTTGTATCACTATTTGTGCTGTAAGTGAACCTGAACTTTTCTGATTGCTTTCCCCCACATATATTTCTTTTAGTATCAAGAGAGTTTCTATTTTTTTGCACTAGTTTTGGTAAATAGTAGAAAAGTGATTTGTGAATATATTAGAATACACAATTATACATACCTTGACATATGCAGTCCAACACAATTGTGATACCAAAGCTCGGAACAAAAAGGATCCCTTTTGTGCTAGTTTCTACCTAGCTGTGCTTTGTTTAAAGAAAAACATCTTTACAAAGTTATCACAATTGCTAATGTATTTAATATCCAAAGCTCCCTAGTTTGTTGGTATAGTCTTTACTTAAAGGTTAACCAATTGAACACATCAAATTGTAGTTTATTTACCTTCACAATTTATTTGTATCGCACAGCCTGTGGTTGGGTACCCCGACAGAAATAGCAAAACCAGGTGCTTAAAGGTGCCGATCCACAAACAGTCAAGTCCCCATGTTTAAATGAAATCGATGTATTCTTTTTATTAAGGATTGGGTAAGCTGACATAATGAAAACATGTAACTGAAAAACAAATTTACACTGACTGTGTGACTACTGTCCTAAGCCATTACAACAGTTCACTGACAGTAACTGGCAAGAGTAACTTGGGAAATAACTTAATCCAGCAGTAGAACAAAAACATCGTCAGTAGTACTGAATATATCTCTCTCATATATCTATCTATCTATATCTATATATATATATATAGATAGATATATATATTTATATATCTATCTATATATAGGTTTGCACAATCAGGGAGCAAGGCACATAATGAAATGAGAGCTTACATTTAAGAAGAAAACAGCAACAAAGCTGAAAGAAAAATTTTAACTTCATCTTTACCGAGCTGTGCATAATCGTTTGAATAATGTCTTCTATCAGGTACTTTATAATGCAGTTCCTTTTGCCTTCTTTTTCATGCTTTAAAAAAGTATATTACTACATTGTATCTATTTACTTATTTATAGCAAAGCTCCCATGGCATAGATGTCACTGTGAGCCTTGACTCAATTTTTTAAAGAAATGGGGAGAGGGAGCAATCCCAGTTAAATATAATGTGCAATTTTCCTTTAAAACAGTAAACAATGTTTTTACAACATTTAGAACAAGCTAAGGATATTTTATTTTAAATGTACATTTCTATAAAAGGAGTTCACTAATGGCTGATAATAAAATTAAGCAAAATCATTTGAAACATTCCAGTTAATGCTTATTTTCTAGGAGAGATTATTTACAAATAGAGGAAAAAATATAGGGGCAGGAATCATGGAAAATGGCAGTTTTTGGTATTAGAATACAATAAATTTAACAATGGACAGTTCCCAAAATGCAAGGACTTCTCCAAACCCTTTAAGTGCTGCGAGCATGTTCTGCCTACGAACAGGAAGAGGCTTCAACCATTACGAGGTTGGTGTTAACAGCCATCCATCGTGATCAACACGCTTCTGAACTTCGCCATCCCATCTGACATAACGCAGTATTCACCCTCCCCCTGACTCGACTCACTTCTCTCTGTCTTTGGTAGAAAGCAGCCAGTCCCCGCCCATTAAGGTAGATGAAGCCATCTCTTGTAAGATAGTCACTTTTTCTATTTCTTATGTAAACTAGAATCAGTCACCTTCCTTCTCTTTCATTAGCACCGCAAAGTTTGCTTGTTAGATTTTTTTTCTTACGCTATTCCTCCAAAGAGTTCAAGGCACTGGGGATTATAGCAGATAATGTTTTCTCTTCTAAATGGTTTTTTACTTCAACAAACAAAGAGCAAACCAACAGATTATTTCCTCCAAGTGTTAATCAAGTATACTGTTTTGCTTATTTTTATTTAGTAAGTTTATTTTACAGCTAAATTTCAGGTTTCTTTTACATATAGACCTAAGGGCACAACAGAGCACTTGTTTAGTTTGAGGGATGGAGTGGTAAAGGTGTAGAAACAGTGTTCTACTGAATTTTTAAAGGAAAACAAATCTTAAAAGATAGTGGGATATTTAACTCTATTCCACTTGCATCTCTCTCTATGGATCAAATCTCAGCTTTGTGAGTGGTCACATACATATTCCTACAGGATAAGGGATGTCCTGCTTTATACAAATGATATGAAGTATATAAGACTCAAAGTGCCAAAAGATACTTGTAACCTAAAGTCATTTTTAGAGATAGCATCCTCTCAAGTGTATAAATCCAAATTATTATACCTGTTTCATTTAAAGCTGTAATCATGCAGGGTCATACAGGTTCAGTTGGTCTAAATTTGAACAAAATCTGTGAGATTACATTAGTTACAATTTGTTAGTTCTGAAGGTATATGAAAAAGTTTGGTAATGTATAAAATTAGGAAAACACTTTTTACTTGTTTTAAAATCACCTTGTGTTTGTAAAATAAAATTGCTTTTAGCAGAGGAAAAAAAGGTGAGAAAGGTTCTGTTGGTGCCCTGATAGTCAAATCAAACCAATCCACATCATTACTTGAAATTTTTTTCAGTCTAATTTACATCCTTGACCCACACTTATTACCAGTTGTATTCTCCCAGAATAGCAGCTTCTGAACTCTAATTGGATGCTCAGCTCTTATTATCCTTGATCTGAGTTGTCAATCTACTGGAATTATTCATGATTTCCCAATTTTGTTTAACTTTCTTGATAAACTCAGCATTGTTTTCAGTGGCAAGTGCACTAACATAAAGAGGGGACTTCCAAGATAGTTCACAGTCCTTAGAATATGCCGTCAGTGGCCAGGAGCACCTTGATTTTTGCCTGTAAAACACCATGTCTATAATACTTAATTTGAAATTTTCTGATAAAAATCATTTCCTATAGCTTTTAAGAGCCAGCAATCCTTCTTATTTTAAAAAATCTTAGATATTTTAAAAATCCAATTTACAGTTAAGTGGGTATCTGTAAAAACCTTAAGATACGTTACTTTTTCCCAAGTGAGAATTATAGTAGCTAAGGAAAGAAAATGTATTTATTTGAGCAGTAAAAGCCAACCTGATAAAATTTCAGTAGAAAACAGTCTAACATTTATGTTCGTACCATTGAACTTGATGTAAGTTGTTGCTGACCTTCAGAGTCGGTGCCAAAACTTGAAGCATAGGGTGATCCCATTTTGAAATTACCTGTGGTAAAAGTTAAGTGTGCTGCTACCTAACCAGGTCACTAGCTCTAACAGGCCCTGTCTGCGCTGCCCCCATAGCAGGAGGCATGCTGTTCGGTTTTCAGTACAACCAAGTTAACTGTCCTGATTTTCTCTGACTTGAAGAAGCTCTGCTGGGTTAGAGCTGCTGAGCAGAAGGCAGTGAAAGAAGGCACAGTGCTAGTGTCAGCCGGCAGTAGTGTTTACCATAACACTCCAGAGAAAAGAAACAGTTACAAAAATAACAGGAGTCTCAAACAAACAACAAAAAAACCCTACAAAACTACAGCCCAACAGAAATCCAATTTTAAAAAAGCCCACTAGGGAATAAAACCACTAGAATATAAAGTATTTGGTTTTTTTGATTCAGTTCTTTTACATATAACAAAGGAAAAAAGTTGATTAATAGCCTTTTCCATCTTTGGAGAAATGTAAAAAGAAACAACCTATTGTCAGACAAGCCACTGGATTAGGGTAAAATTGGCAGGCAGTGCCTCCTCTGACCCAGCTCTGTTCTCCATGTCCCTACTGTTCTAAAGGATGTCTGCTCTTTCAGGAAAAAGATACACTGAAAGCATCAGTCCAGGGATGGCTGTCACTAGGACTGACACAAACAAGTTCCAAGAAAGCCCACACTGAAAAAAACAAAAGGACATATCTTAGGGCTCAAATCATTGGTGAGGGAAGATTAAAGGAACAGTACTAAAGTTGTCCACCTTCATGTATAGAGACCACCACCACCACAAAAACCCTAGTGATGAATATATCATTGGATTCACATTCTCATTAACTCTTTACCCACAGATAAGGGTGATTTTTAGAATATAAAACTGCAAGCAGAGACTAGGAAATCACTTCACTTATGAGTCACAGTGGAGCTTGGCAATCTACACAAACGTTACCCAACTGCTGTGCACACTCAAGTTAATGCAGATGTTAAAGGTCACTTCATAAGCATAACAATATCAAGCCCACAAAACTTTGTGAGCAATTGAAAATATCCAAAAGGTATCTTTTAAAGAAGCAGGGCTCTAAAAAAATGCACAATGGTATATATTCTTATTGCTCTATAACCACATAAACATACTGAACAATGCCGCAGAGATGTAACAACGGAGAGAGGTGTCACTTACTCTGTATGATGTGGTACTTTCTTGGAGAGCGGGTTATATGGGCATCTTGTATACACAGTACAACCTTCACTTATTCTTGAGTGAGTTACTGTCTGCCCCACTACACTGGCCTGACTTTGTCCCTGTGGGACAGTGTCAGAGATTTTCATAGTCTGCACTGCTAATCCTTAGTCACAACAGGCAGAGACTTTCGTCATGAGATGTGCTCATTTACCATTGCTGAGGTGGCTAGTTGTTATTCTAAGAGCAACTCTGAGATTGCATTTTATTCCTAACAGTCAATTTATCATCACATTTCTCTCAGATACCAAGGAAAATTCACAGGAAAAAAAAAGCTTAAGAAGTGTAGTGTGAAGCCTAATTATAGTATGTCATTAGAGCAATGCACTCATGCTATGCCAGACTGCACATGTATAATATGCAACGTCACTTCCTGTACTTGGGCTGCACTACTCCATCAGAACACCTGGTAATCTGGACAAATCTCCACAACCAGGCTCCAACAGGCAAGGGCCCTAGGGTGCTCCAGTACCACAAGCTCACTGATTCTTTTCCCCTCCATGATAGTCCCGTACTCAAAGGAATTCTTTGTATCACTTGTTACAATCCATATACAACCTGATCAATGATACCTGTACAGGGGCCAGTTTTGTTCTCTCTTCTAATCATCCCATCCTTCTAGAGAGCAATACACACAAAAGACACATTTCAGAAAGGTGATTTGTTTTTCGTAATGATGCGCCGTATTGGACACAGGATGGGTATATTTGATATAGCAATTGTCTACAGATACCTAATATCAACATCTATCTAAAGCATACAGTATAAGAAGATAACCGGTGACACAAAGACATACTGGGACAGCATTCCGGGGTACTGTGTTGGGTATTCTCTTACAATAAGTCCAAGCAAGGATCACGAGGCCAAGCCTGATAAAGCTTCACAAAGCCCATGAAGGAAAGGATTCCAGCATACACAAAGAACTACCCGGGATTCTAACACTAAATGATCCACGTGTTGTCGGGAAAGAGCTCACCTGTGGCAGCACGTCCTAGGTCAGGTGCTGCGACGGGAATGGTTAGCTAGGCCAGGGACTTGCTTCCGGTGCACAGCCACGTCTGGGAAAGGCTCCCCATACTGAACTCTTTACCCGTTCTATGAAGCGGAGAGGTTTTCCTGATTTAAAGTGCCCCTTTATGTCCAGTAAGGAAGTGTCAAGCAGTTCTAACTTCAGCCAACTGAGGAAAAACCCAAAGCCCAGATACACCAACATTTCGGTCGTCTTCCCAAGCTGCGGTGCAGCACCTTGTACATGTCCCACTTAGTATAAAATACACAACACACACAGATGGCCGCACATGGACACTTGTAAAATACCTTCCCAATAAGTCAGCGCAAGTTTTTTTGGTCCAATCCACACGACTGATAATAGAAACCATAAGGGATATAGGACACACACCCCTTTCCATGCCTCTTCCACCCAAAATACACAACACCCATTTTCAGATTAGGAGAAAAGGAATAAATAGAATCACTCTCAGCTAGATATATACATAAACACACACATGTATACATATATTCACACACTACCTTATGTATAGCTATGCGTGTACACGCACACGTACACACACACATATAGCCGGACACTACCTGAATAACAACATACCGGGAGGCTCTGAACACCTGAATTCATAGATGATCAGGTGAGCTGATTGTAGAACTGATTACAGACACCGTGAAAACCGAGTCCTGCGGTAACTACCAGTCTCTTGAGAGCTTGGTGTTTTGGTCTCTCTTGGGGGGCGCGGGGGGCGGCCCTCGCCGCAATGTGGCATAGCCGGATATATGGCTGCCTCCATAACCAGCTTTCTGGTGATCGGAAAGCAGTTCGGGCGGTGGCGGGGGCAGTGCCATGTCATCCATGGTGGCTGTGGGTTCGGCTCTGGACACGCGGGAGGACGACAGCGAGCCGTGCCGCGTGATGGACTTCCGCTGTAGTGTCCTGTTGAGGTCAGCCAGGAACCCAGGCTGGACACTAAGGCTGGACTTGGGCGAGGTGGGCACTTGGGGCACGACTGTGGCCGTGGCCGGCTGCTCGGAGACCTCGGCCTGCGTGAGGCGGGTGCTGTCGTTCCGCTTGGGTCGTGTGGGCGGAGGCGCCTTCCTGACCGACGTTTTGGCCCACGGCTGCGGCTGCGGGTTCACGACCGCCACTTTCGGAGAGGTGTTTCCCGAGAACGCGGCTGGCAGCTCCGCAGGGGGCGGAGGGAGCTCGAGCTCAGGCGGCGGCGGCGGGAAGTCCGAGTCCGACGGAGGGGAAGGAAACTCCGCCGCGGAGGCGTCCCTGGCCCGCCCGCTCAGGACGGCGGACTTTGCTGCCACACCCCCCTGTTGGAGAACTCCGGGAAGGTTAACTCCAGAAAGATTTAGTTTTCCAGGTTTGGGGGGCGCTGCAGGAGGTGGTGGGGTCTCTTTGCTGGGAGACCCCGAGGGTTCCGCTGGCGAAGCAAACTTGCTGACCAGACTGTCCACCGAGGGCCTCTTCGGCTCAGGGTGCTCGGCGCCGGCGCCGGCCTTGATGCTGGAGTTCCGCTGCGGGGTCGGGGGAGGTTTCTTGGCC